GACCGGTTCACTTTAGATCGATTCAAACTAAACTCCCGCTTTTGGTGTTTTAGTTTAGACCGATTCAAGATCGATTCAGAGCGTTCACATTATGCTTAAATATATCTAAAGTGAACCGATCTAGTTTAAATCGATCTAAATGTCCAAGTGTGAACGGAGTCTTAGATGTAGCCATGGAATGTAATGATAAACGAAAGAACTGTCGTCAACAAAAGGAAACGCAGTCACTTCATTTGTCTTAGATTAAGTTATTACAGACTGATCAGAAGATAGTATGTCATAAAGATATAAAAATGTATGATTAGTGCTGTCTACTTTGGCAAGTAGAGTGAATTTATAAAAGAAAAGACTTTTAAAAAGGGGGAGAAGATACCAAAATGTCAATTAAACATCGTAAGTCAATAAAAACCAGACAACAGCACGAACAAACGCAAAAATAGCGAAAAGACAAAAACAAGTGCACAAAAAACTTCACAGAAAATGAAAACTGAGCAACAGACATAAAAAGAAGAAAAAAACAGAAAAGAAACTACAAAAAAAAACACAAAATAAAACAAAAATGGGGTTACTTCGGACTTTGGTTTACTCTTTTGAATTGTTTCGCATTTTTTTCCAGCTGGAGCAGTTTATAGCTTACTTTACGGCTGGATGTTGCTCATTATTGAAGGCCGCATGGGGCACTATAGTTGTTAACAAGCTCGTCTTTTGGTCTCTGGGGATAGTTGTCTCATTGGGAATCATACCACATCTCCTTATTTTTATCTTGACTCTTCAGTTGCTCCTGAGTAGTTCTTACTCTGCTAGCGACACACTCACTTTCATTATGTAATACAAGATACAGCTATATATAAAAACTGGTGATAATATCTTGTCTTAAATATTATCTAGAAATCCCTAACTTCATAAACCCATCGGTACACGTAAATTCTCTACAGTTTGCAAAGAAGAATGTTTTACGTTATTTGACGTTTGCATAGCCAAAGCACTTTTGGCTGAATTTTCCCGTCTAGTGTTTAGATTAATGAGGTGCTTCGTTATATTTACATTTGACCAAAAATTTTATTCTTTGAGTTTGCATTCATAATACTTTACAACGTCTATGCAAACTCAAGTTTGGCGACATACTCAACAAGAAAAAACTAGTTTGCATTTACATTCAATATTATGATTAACATAAATTTTGAGAATGACTGCTTGTGTCCATTTAAGTTTTACTTGATTTTTGTGTCATGTGACTCCATTGGTCGTGATAGAGTTGTGGTAAACCCTTTTCATGCTCTCCAACTAATTTCCATATCCCTACCAAGAAGTCTCTTACTCTTTTTTGTCCAAATGTAACGAAGTACCAAGGTGAGTTCTTAAACTAATGTCAGCTTTCGGTTTTTGTCTACCCATTATGGCTACGGTGTTCATCCACTAACAAGGTTTTTTTGGTTTTGGGCAGATAATTCCGGACAGACAAAATTTACGATTCACAGGGTGAGTTCCATATAGCTAGGTATTTGTGATACCAATACAAAGTGTGATCCTGAAAGCGACATGTCTTACGGTTACTGAGAGAAATTTTGTCAAAGTTAGGTGGAATAATAATAATAATGATAATAATCAGAAGAAATACAGTAAGGGGTTTCCTTTTGGAAAAAAGAAAGACTTTAATTAAAACAAATGTATAAATTTATATAAAGTGAGAGGCAACTATACAATACCGATGTTCAAAACTCGTTAATCCATTTTTAATATACAGATCAAGATGAAACAGCCCAGGAAATCGCCTGAACTCCAAACAGCGAGACTATGTACGTCGAGAAGACAAGAGTATCGTGCTATGTACGTCGAGAAGACAAGAGTATCGTGCTATGTACGTCGAGAAGACAAGAGTATCGTGCTATGTACGTCGAGAAGACAAGAGTATCGTGCTATGTACGTCGAGAAGACAAGAGTATCGTGCTATGCATGCATCAAAGTCGTGCAAATCCTCATTCTGTCGAAATGTCACAAATGACGCAATCGGTAAATTTACAGATCAGGCGATTTTTCTGGTATCTAAAGATCTAAGACCGCAAAGACATTTCGTTTGTGAGTTGAGACACATTCACATGTTATAGGTCAGCCAATTCAACAAATGTGTATGTCTCAAGATGCTTGCCTGACTTTCAGGTTAACAATTGCCTATCCGTAAATTAAATAATCTAGTATATAACTCAATTGTAACATTATAATACTGACGAATTTAAGAGGTAAAAAACACGTATGTAATGTTTTATACATTCATTCTTTATTCCAATGTAAATACATTGAATTTTAAGAATAAAGTTGTCTTGTCTTATTTGACCAGTATATCTGTGATAGCAACTATGTTGCACAAAACACAAAGAACACCAACGCTTCTCAGTGAAAATAATTTGACCTTTACGCATTTTATCTCTATTGGCTCTCATAATTCTTAATAGAATGGCGCTTGTATATGTTTTAGTATTTAAGCTAATGATATTTTACTGTTAGTTTTAATATACGCTATGTTATATATATGTATTTGAATGTTTTATGTTATACGCTATGTTATATATATGTATTTGAATGTTTTATGTTATACGCTATGTTTTATATGTGTATTTGAATGTTTTATGTTATACGCTATGTTATATATATGTATTTGAATGTTTTATGTTATACGCTATGTTTTATATGTGTATTTGAATGTTTTATGTTATACAGGTGGTGAGACTTTAATAAAATATTGAATCTGGATCTGGCTGAACATTTCTACCGAGTGTGTAACTTACTGCGGTCATCATTAACGTTAAATTTAGCCAATTCTAACTTTCCTGGAAAATATTTAGATTTTCAATTCATTAGATGAAATATATTTTATTAATAATGTGGTGCGTCCGAAACTGTTTTCTGGATCTACCTTCACCAGCAACGTAAAAATCCCAAAACATTAAAGCCAAGAATATATAAATACTTGAATAAAAATGTATATAACAAAAATACTGAACTCCAGGGCAAATACAAAAAGGGGAAGTCCATAAAAACTGTCAAATTCAAACGCTATCAACCAACGCAACTGCCATATGCCTGACTTAGTACAGACATTTTCCGATGAAAACGATGGGTTAAACCTGGTTTTATAGCTAGTTAAACCTCCCATTTGAGGAGCTATATGGCCAGTAATTACCAAATCCACCTAAGTCAAGATAAACTTTTCCTGATGGAGTTGAAAAATTAGTTTCTTAATAATTTCTAAATTAATCAACGAAGAAGTCGAGACAGTTCAGTTATAAATCATGTCATTCACGTATACTACTGATCTGAAATGACAAATAAGTTACCACAAACTAAATGGCCAAGTATTACTTAAAACAGAAGTTGATTGACTTTCAACAAAACTGCCGTTCAGATATATGTAGTTCGTCAAAAGGCGTATAAAAATATTCTGTTGGAAAAATTTCAGTAAAACATCTTTGGAAACGAAAAAAACAAGCTTTAAATATCAAAGCAGCAGTCAGTAAAATAGAAATGCTTGCAGTAGAAAATTAGCCACATGCTAATACTTTGTAAATAAGGAGGAAATCACTGCATAGTAGGTCTTGCTCCTGTTGGAGTTCATGCGATTCCCTCTGTTAATTGTTTGTTAATTAATTTGAATTGTCTTCTAAATCAATTGATGAGATTTGAAGATCGGTAAACGACTGTTGTCTTAATTAGACTTTCCCTTAAAACAGTCGAACTTGATTTTGACTTGATTTGGTGATTTCATTTCATTTTGAGTAACTTAATGCAAAACTTATATCTACGACAACATTATTGATTGTTTTTTATAATTAGTATAAAAATAAAGTCACGAGCAAAACAGAAAAACATATTCAAGTATTATATGATATGAATCAACATTTGAAGTGAAGTATTTTCAGTGTAGCAATTTATAAAAAAATCAATATAATCTCGAACTCCTATATACATTTCAGCAAAATACGAACGAGGGGCGTAATGAACACCAAACTTTCAAACGCAGATGGTAATTTTGTTATTAACACCAAGAAGTTTAACTAAACACAGGTTGAGCTGTACGGTAAAAAACGGATAGTATGTCGATATACATCATTTGGGAGCAACCATTTGATTTAAAAAAAATAGGGTTACTCTTCAACTTCGTACTTAATTTGGTCTTTTTAACTTTCTCCAATACTACTTTTGTAGACGAATCGCCCGTCTGGCGTACACAATTCTAATCCGGGTATCTATGATGAGTTAATTAATGGGGCTTGGAAGAGCCACAAATTTAAAACTCAACTTTTATAAAATATTATCTTTGATATTTATCATTACAAACCTTTCTAAAGAAACTCAATCTTTCGATCGATATGTTGACTCTAAATTGGGTTAACGGTAGTTAAAAATCAACGTTAGAGACCGACAGAATCAAAACATTGCGAAGAACTGTGTGTTTGATTTGTCTCTAACTGAATAAACAGGTAAATATACATTAAAAAAAAAAAGACGGAGATAACTAAGACTAAAACCGACAATGCAATTGCAAAAATAAAGACGAAAAGTAAATTTATTTATAATTCGTTACCAATACACATAAATGAATACAATGAATGCTACTTCAAACCCATGCAGAGGTTTTGAAGGTATTTAAATTCAGACTTTTTTATCTGATAGTTTCCTCTGTTTTGATATTTCAAAATTTGTTCCAAGCTACCTTAAAATTCAAATGGTTGCTCCCTAATTTGACATCTAAGAGCTCTAACTGATGGTAGTACAGATTAGCTCGAATTATTATGACAGATGATAGTCAAATCATTACAAAATATATAAAAATGTGATATGTTCAATATAGAATGCAAAATGAAACATCTCGACAAAGAACAATCGAAATGCTAGGTTTCATATGAAGTAATACAATATATATAAATGACGATGATTTGCATTTTGCCAGTTTCATTTGACCTGTATTTGACATAATGATTAAGTTTTGTAAATTTTCTGATACCACATGTGACATGCGAGGGTCATTTTCATGTATAAATACTTGACCATTATGATTTTGAAATTTAAGTCTCTTGGTTACCAACAAAATGGGACAGGTAACGGTTGTTCTTGTAGCATCTTTAATAGCTGTATTTGTAAATTTTACTGAAGGGTAAGTTTATTTGTGCACGCACACATACTCATAGGTTCTACACCTTATCGAGTTTGATACGATATTTTAAAAAGTAAAGAATAATTTTGAGTTGAATATATAATAGTATTATGCAAAGTCTTTAAGATTTTATAAGAATTTATATTTTTGTTGAACCTACAACAACATATTCTTATCTAAAAAAATCGAAAAACCCAATAAATACGTATGTATTGTATTTATAATTTTTACATTTTATATGTATCTCTGTTTGTCCTGTTCTATGCACAATAGTTACTAGCGATTACACCTAGGTGAAACAGCTATTACTAGTCGCAATTTTTGTTTTACAGCATGCATTGGATATTACTTATAACTTTTAACAGTATGCAGTGAACATTTCTATTCTTATCTGAGCTACATTGTGCAATTATAAGCAGTCTATTTCTTTTTTTCTAGACTATGCAGTCGTTATTAAACTAATTTGTATTTTGTAGTTATTGATACTCTAATTCTTTGTTGTACAGTATGCATCAGGTATTACTTAACGTGTAGGAGATACTAGTACCGCACGTCAATCTTCGTTTAACAATATGCAATAAGTTTTTCTATAATATCTGCAGCAGATATGATTTCTGCTATACAAGTTCTTTGTTTTAGAGTTTACACTGAAAATTTGCTATATAATTTTACTAAAATGTTGGTATTTTTTATTAAGTCTTTGTTTCCGAGTATCAATTAAGAATTCATATACGACAGATATGTTTTTTATGAATCTAATTAAATTCTTTGTTTTAGGGTATGTACCGGGTATTATTACAGTACTTGTAGCAAATATGTTTATAATCAGGAAAGATATACAACTCCTTGTGGATGGTGGGGCAGATGTACAAAATACAAGTAAGAATCTAGATTTCCAATCTATTTTTTAATCAAATAGTCTTACGTCACGTAATTGAAATAATATTGATTGATTGTGTTTTGGTGTTTAAAGCAACTTTCAGAACTATTGGATATTTTGTGGTGGCCAGTTTCTATAGTGCCATGAGAGAACCACCGTTTTCGGCAAGAAAACAGGCAGATTTCAACGTATCTGCCTCTATTCAAAGTTTGCAATTTAAGGTAGCACAATACAAAGATTTTATACCTCCAACTCCCCAGTTTTAAAATGCTGTAACTTTCTTTATAATGCTTGAAAATTTATAAAAGTGGTATTTATGGATAGCTAACAGATTACTATTTCAAATTAATGCAATGTTAGTATTATACAACAATTATGTAATTAATTATAATTTTAACTGTGTCTACAAAATTTTACAAGAAATTTCCACTTTCAATTGAAATTAGCTTCTTCATGGATACCCCGAGATAGAGAGGGTTGATTTTATATGTTGTTCCTAGAGCCATTATCTACAAAAGGGTGTCTCAGATTTTGGATAGAATGTATAGATAAAATTTTACACCTAATCAAATAATCTCTACTTTTATGTGGTAAGGATGTTTACACTAATTACAGATTTATGAGAGAATGGAATACGATAGCGATATTTGAGACACCCTTTTGTAGCTCCTCCTGTGTTGATTAAGATAACATTAAAATTTCTTGTGTAGTTATAGAGATGTCAGAGCTAAATTCATTCAAGTGAACTGACCAAGATTTTGCCATTAATTGCATAATAATTGATTACATAATGATGACATAACAAAAATATTGCATTCATTTAAAAGATTAATCTTTTATCTATCTATATATACCTCTTTTATTAATATGTATGCAGTCATAAGAAAGTAACATCATTTTAAAGGTTGGAGATTGGAAGTAAAAAAATCTTTGTATTGTGCTACCATAAATAAGTGGATTTAACTTAAAGAGTTTGGTTTTGCATTTTGGCCCAGGTGAATTATTCAAATATGAAAGTTATTGGGCAATGAAATTAATTTTTAGATAGCTGAGGAATAATATAGCCTTCAAAATGTTTTTATATGAACATCAAAATTGTTTTTTGCACGTTTTATGGCTATATTCTGTTTGACAGTCCGTATTTTCACATCCGTACCGGCCATAGGGCCAGAAATTATTGCAACACTTTTTTTACGCTCGATCTTTTCAATTTTATGGAAATTTGAGATGAAATGCATATATTCTTTATTGAATCTCTTGATAGATAAATGTCTATTGTTTAAGAAAAGGTAAATGGGTTGAAATTCTACTTTGGACAAAATTTTGGCGACATTTGTGACATTTTCACCCCCCTTTTTGCAATATTTTGTATCAAATAAATGCAGATTGTTACCATGGCTACACCAAAAAGAGACTATATTTTACCATTTTAACTATTGGAAATCAAATCTATGGAAGATGCTGTTTCCATACATATGCACATACATGACACAAACTCTAAGCCTTATTTGAATGAAAGCAAGAGAAAAAGGGTGGTTAAAAATTATAAGTGTCAATTTTTAGTTTTTTCTGTGTATTGGTGCTTATGTTAAATATGACTTAAAATTTAATAAATATTATTTTACTATCATTCGGAGAGCATGTTCAATGATAGCTGTTATAGTGTCCTACAAGATTTTGTGCGGTAGACGAATCGTCCGGCCTTAAATATCAAATGGATTTTTATGTACAAAAATAGGCAGATCGGTCATATTTTGACTTTATTTACTTACTGCTTTCATTTTGATTAAATGTGACTGATAACAGCTTAATGAGACTGAAAATGCCATATTCTGTCAAAACACACAAGCTTTTCTCTTTGCGTAGACGTGCGTGAAATAAATTTCAATTCTTTTCTTTAAAATGATAATTTTTTCAAAGAATGAAAACGCATGGTCTGTAAAGTTTCTCAAGTTTCTGAAGAACGCGCTATTTCAATATTATAAAAAAAATCACTGTATTGCAAAAATCTCGTTAAAACGTAAGAATTGCAAAAATGAACCTTTCATATCTTTTGTTTCATTCAAAAAAATATCATGAACTCGTTCAGTGTAGTTTGATAGTCAATTGAACCACACGTGTGTGTAGTGTAAAAAAAAATTGCAAATTAACCAGTTTTCAGATATACAGAATATGATTATACTTTAAAGCATTCAGATTAGGAACGTCCAGCAAAGTTAAATTGTGAATTATCAAGTATGAAGGTCTAGATGGGGTTCTTCATTTCTATATTCTTCAATTTTTAAGACATTTTTCTTTATTCTTCACTTATGTTGACCATTATTCTCAAGACTTACTGTAACATATCCAGACTCTAGTCAAAGAACATTGGTTTATAGTAGATATTTAAAAAAAAAAATTTATATTCGACTTGACCTTTTAGTACAATATAAGGACAGAAAACTAAAGACAAACAAACCGTAACTAGAGTTATTGTTAATCCACAATCAAGAGTAATTTTATAATTTCTTAAAGATTTTTTAACTTCAGATCTAGAGTTGCCATCCTTGTCTTCATAAAAATAACTATTGTTACGTAATAAAATTTCGTTTGCTTACAGAATACACACAGGACAAATTTGAACAGGTAAACAAGTATAGATGAAGCAATAATAACTTCATCCAATCGAATTGCGTAAGATTAAATAACAATGACCAGTCCATATCAAATTAAGTGTTAGGGGTAAATTTGGTAGGGAGAAAATGAGAGAATTTTAATACCATTTCTTGTTAATACTACAAAACACTCATCACCCAAACTTTTTGTTTGAATTTCAAAAACCAATATGTCTGTATTGGTATCGTTTTTCGATCTCTTGAAGCAAAAGAAAGTTTGGGCTTTTAAAGTCAACAAAATTATTGACTTTATATAGAAAATTAACATCTTTAAGAGGTACTAAAACACATATAACATGTGATTCTTATCTTAAAGGTTGAAATAATTGATGAAAAAATTTGGTCCACTAATAACAGAGATAACTGAATGTAAAGTACAACTATTTTTACCTGTGGAAAATCCAATCAACACTAATTCCGGAAACAGCACTAGAAATAACTCTGCCGGAAGTGACGCACACTGGTTATCTTCTATGCTTATCTAATGTTGATGATTAAGGACTTTCCCCTGATCGTGGATGAAAATGCACTGCCATTGAATTTAGCTTTCCCTTCAAAGCCGATTCTCTATAATGACAAATTTATTAAAAGGAAAAAAAACATCGTTTCAGTAGGGAAATGTATTTATAATGTGTTTCAATGGAAAAATGGAGGGGAGGGGGGATTAACCAACATTGAGTTTTTAACCCCAAAAATATTGTCCTGATCGGAGGAAAGAGAAAAATCAACGGTTTATATATTATTAGCTATTATTTAAAAATATTTATTTTTATTATCGAGCCGAGAATAAATATTGTTTATGTTACAATATGAAGTTGCATAACAACTTGACAAAATGTGCACAGGCACTTGTCTCTGAAAAAAAATCCTATATACCGAATATTTTTTTCAAGACAAGTGCCTGTGAAGATGTGTAGGGCTTCTTTTTCCTGTAATAAAAATTTCAAAAACCGGATATTCACAATACCTATCTAATGATGTTAATTATTAAACAAAAAAGTTCATCAATTTATAAACAACGGTTACATCCTGGTTTTCCCACTTTTAATTACCCCAATTATCAAATGGTTATATAAACAAAAAAGACAAAAGGTTTACTGATTGGAAAATTGTGTAGTCTGTTCCAGTTACGTTGCTATTTTATATGTACATATATCTCTGTGAAATTCTATGGGATAAGTTTGTATGCAATTGATGCATATTAAAATGTGTATTTTTTCCCTCATATATTTGGTTGCGAAATTTTCATTGAATTGATTCATTGAAGGAAATAGATGAAAATGAATAATAAATTGATTTTGATATATATTTTTAATAGCACTAAAACAATTAACATTGTCAATATTATATAAATATCGTTAGCACTGAAATTTATCACTCATAATGCATTTAAAGCATCAAACATAATATGCAAACATAACATTGGAAACAATTACAAATTGCATGTACAAGAATGTCTTTAATTCAAGTGCAGAAGGTGTGATGCTGCATCTGCGTATTCTAACACATCCTTCATAAAAGCAACAGCTTCATATGGATTTAAATTGAAATAATTGTTATAACTTACACAACGTTACCTTTTCCAATATAAACATTCAATTTTTTAATTTTTTTTTATTTACAACATATTTTTCAAAGACCACATTGTGACTTCGAGATTAAGTACAACCATGAAAGCTCTTTTCCTTTTCTTTCTTCTGTTGTTGTTCCGGACCATATGCGTATTTGGACCATACGCGTATGGTCATGACCAAATGCGTATACCCATATGGTCCAACCATACGCGTATGGTCGGACCATATGAGTATTATACTCGTTTGGTTATTAACGGGCCGGACCATATGAGTATTTAGACCATATAGGTATTTTCAAATAAACTCTATTTTCATTCGCTGGAGCGCACAGCTTATTCTCTGAACCCTAACCGACACAAGTTACTAACTGAATTCCTTTATCTTTACACATTGTCTGACTGCTATCTTGCCTTCGCTAGAATCTTTTCAGAGCGTTTTATCTTGTCCACGTTTTCATCCGCACGAGGACATTTTTTTCCTTTTTTTTTTAGTGTTTAAATTATTATTTCAGAAACAAAATTTCTTCTCTAATCTCAACTTATTTCATTTAATTATTGTGCTCTGTATACTTTTTCCTGTTATTGTAAGATCGTATAAGTAGGAGCAAGAACACATTAAATAACTAAAAAATATTTGTACTATTTAAGAATTTTTATTTAATAAAAACACGAAAACATATTTTAAAAAAGAAAAGAAAGAGGGTTCAATGACGAAAGTTCATGTGAGTTAAGCAGTTTACTTATTCTTTAACAGTTCATTTAGATATTTCTTGATGTTATTTTTATAAGTCGACGTCTCGTACAAATGTAAAGGCAAACCAATAATGACCATGTAAAATGATTTAACTATATTTCTAACAATAATTAACAATATGATTGTATAAGTCAAAATTTCATGTTTAGAAGCTCTTAATTTATGGGACACCATTTCAACTTTAATCGTTTACTTATTCATTTTTTTGTGTGCACATACAAAACCTTATGCTAATTATTTTTCTTAAATTCATATACACATATTTAGGCCTATTTGGGTTCTTACAAAATATTTTGGCAACTAAATTCACATACACAAATTGGCATATCAAATTTCTCTCCTCTTTACTTGGCTGCTGGTGTACCATGACAACGTTGCTGCCGCTCACTGTCGTTTGCTTGGCCTTTTCTCCTGTTCCGGCTTTTGGTGGCTCCTATTTTTTATTTTTTTTTATATTATATTCTTTTTTTTTGTTCTTTATTAAAACTTTTCATTTTTTTATTTAAATATCCTGTTAAAAATGATTTTTTTCATTGTCCGGAACTCTTTTCACAAACAAATCCTATGCATTGAATAAATGGTAGGCTACTCTTAAATGATCACAATGTGGGAGTATTTTTTTCTCTTAGGATATTTTGTGAATTAACCCCATCAACGTAAAGGTTTTTACAATGAAAATCGAAATGTGTAAATGTTTTTTCTATTATCAAATGATATTAGCTCTGAATACTTATTATTCTCTAAAATGGATCTGTTGTGTGTGCTGATATAAAGAATTTAAAACAAATTACTTTAAAGTTTTGTGAAATGAGTTTCATTTTATGTATTGAAATGTGTATTAAGTGATTATCTAAATCCCCACTGTAAGGCCTCTGACAGACTGAGTGAGCGTAAAATCATTGTTATCGATAGCCGATAACAAACAAGTTAAAGGTAAATGACTCAGTATTATTAACAACATAAGTATTACGATTGTCCACACTGTTACGGGGTTACCTCTAATATGAAATCAGAAATTAATTGTATTTTAAAGGGCTGACAATGAAAGTGGGAATAAATTTAATTCAGAAAGCACGGTATTATTTACAGCACCTATATTTACACCCAAATAAAATTTAGCAAATTTGATTTGTACCTTATTTGGAATAAAACTTGCATAGTTTGACTCGATGATAGTATTTTGTTTCATTAAACTACCAGTAGCCCAAACTTCACTGCTATATATATATAGTAAAATTGGTTTCACATATGAATCAAAAAGTTTTAAATGTTGAGGTAAATTCATCTTTTCAGAAAATAATAGTTTTCTGATTCAAAAAACAGCTTTGATAGCCTTTTTAGATAACTGATCAATTGCTGTAGAAAAAAGATCCAGATGGTTTAAAACTATACTTAAATACTTGTATTCATCAGTCAGCTCTAGAGTTTTCCATTGTAATATAATTTGTGTTTTTTAACTATTTTCCCTGTTTTATTGAATATTAAAATCTTAGTTTTAATAAGATTAACAGATAGATTCCATTTATCACAAAATTTATTTTAATCATCTAAAGAATTTTGCAGGCCAGATGCAGATTCTGATATTACTACTAAATTGTCTGTATAAGGAAGACAAGACACTTGTTTATCATCTAGGCTTGCTGGATCACATTTGTGGTCAAACATTTCAACAAGTTCATTTATATACAATGAAAATAATGTTGGGCTTATCATATGCTACTGGTTTAATATTTCTTAAATAAGCGCAATAAATGTCCCTCGTGAGTTATAAAGGACGTTAAACATCCCCGCAGACTGGTAGATAAGTGCTACAAGTTATCAAATATTGCATGTCAGCAGTATGAGGCGCCGTTTTACTATTTATTCCTTATTTTCTTATATCAAAAAATATTTCTTGATATCAAAAATAGATTTTTTGATATCAGAAAATATTTTTTGATTTCAAAAAATATTTCTTGATATCAGGAATTCAATTTTTTTATATAAAAAAATCCCTTTTTTGATATCAGGAATTCGATTTCTTGATATCAGAAAATAATCTTTATTTCTTGATATCTGAAATTCAATTTTTTGATATAAAAAAAAATCATTTTTTGATATCAAGAAATCCATTTTATGATTCAACAAATAGATTTTCTGATATCAAATAATACTGACGATTAATTGATATCAAGAAATACATTTTCTGATATCAAAAAATGATATTTTGATATCAAAAATTCGAATTCTTGATATCAAGAAATGATTTTTTTATATCAGAAAATAAGAAAAATATCAATGGTTGCTCCCTGTGTATCAATGAAAGCATCCGAGCTCACCCATTAGCCCTAACATTAGGTCTGGTGTTTCGGTCGTTTTTAAGGAAAGAATGTCTCAGAGTTCGGCTTCATCAGTCATAAGAAGTTTTGTGTGTTTGTGTTTCTCACATATTAATTTTTTTAAGGTTTATAGTCAACAATTTTAAGTTCCCCCTTCTTTTATTAGCAATTATTGGTTTCCTCTGAAACAGATTTGTGCAGCCAGGTTTTTGTGAAATTAAGCCCCAGTGTTTTTGGTAATCTTGTTTTTAGTTTTTTCCCGTTGTTTATGTTGCGAATTTAGTAAGTCAGTTAGTTCTGTTTAGTATAAAAATAAGGAGATGTGGTATGATTGCCAATGAGACAACTATCCACCAAAGTGTAAATGAAGTGGATGTAAGAAATTATAGACAACCGTACGGTCTTCAACAATGAGAAAACCCAATACCGCATAGTCGGCTATAAAAGGCCCCGACATGAAAAATATGAAAACATATTACGAAAAAAAATATGACAGACATGAACCAACGACTATTACTGAACTACAGGCTTCTGACTTGGGACAGACACATAAAGAATGTGGCGGGATTAAACCCTAACCTGGGACACTAGTGTTACATCACAACATAGTGTAAGAACAAACTATAAAAATCAGTCGAAAAGGGCTTTACACAAAGAAGAAAAACAGCTAACAAAAACACAGACCGGACGTGGCAAGGTATCAACAACAAAAAGACACAAAGTACAGATGTGAGAGTACTCTCAGTTACTGACAGCTAGTTCAAAGCCAATAACAACAAATTGCATGTCTTGTATTTTCAAATACTTCGTCTATTTCGTCTTTTTACGAGACGTTTTTTGAAAGACTGCTAGTATTTCTTATGTACCGCGCCTTGCATATATCCTTTAAATACATTTATTCTATATGAGCTTTTTCTGTGAAGTATTGAAAAGTTTCAGTAGGCTTGATGTACGTTTTCATTTCTAAAATACCTTCATTTTGGAAGCGTTTGTCTTTGTATTAAAACGACTGTCAAGAAAGTTACACTTCATTTTGAGAAAATCGGTATGTACAATTTAGGTGGGTATGCATTGTATTAGATATATAAGGCGAACAGATCGTGTATTACGTCAGTTGAACCTGAATATATCATCCAGCCATCGTATCTAAATCTTGAACACATCAGTATTTTGTTTCGATGTGTCAAGCTTTGTAAAACATTTTCCAGTATTTAGTAAATTCTTAGGTCGACTAATTCCGCCGATTGGGATTGCTCGACACAAAGGTAAATATGTTATATGTTTTAGAATAATTTAAAAAATCTTCAATATATTGTCTTTTAGTGCATGGGACTCGAATTTCGTAATTAGTTATATCGAGGTAATTCGGTACTCGTTCAGTTTAGTCAAACTGAAGATTAGTGTACATTTTTTTGCTTCAAATATTGTTATTAAATAGCAGTTTTCTATAGACTTTGAAGTATAATCATGTTCATAAAACCTGAAGTGTATAAGCATTTTGTTTTTGTAACAATTGACCCTTTGCCATCAATATAATGACCAATATCGTGTAGCGGTACTCCACATTATAAAACAATTGGTCTACCGGAAACATTAAAACAGATTTTTCCTGATGTTTGGGCTCATGGGTGATCGAGCTTGGAGGCCTTAATTGACATACAGGAAGCCATCATTTATTTATTTCTTATTTTCTGATATCAAAAAATGATTCTTTGATATCAGGAATTCGAATTTTTGATATCACATTTTTCGATATCAGGAAATCTATTTCTTGATATAAAAAAATACAAAATATTTTCTGATATCAAAAATTCGAATTTCTGATATCAAAAAATAGATTTCCTGATATCAAAAAATGAATTTTTGATATCAGAAAATATTCTTTTTTTTTGTATCAAGAAATCGATTTCATATCAGAAAACCATTTTTTCATATCAGAAAATAAGGAATAAATAGTAAAACGGCGCCTCATACAGTTTCATGGTGGAGTGGTATCATGTACGGACATTAGTATTGTAAAAAATAAGCGCAAGTTCGACTCTCAAATGTGGAATTTGTTTTTAGAGTTAAAATTCATAATTTAAAAAAGTTATATATCATAACTTAACTTAAGTTAACATAGTGGTTGAAGATTTGCTATGTACATTAGCTAAAATGTGACAAACATATAAAATGAATTATATTCAAAATGTAATAGACAAATAAAAATGTAATTTCTTTATTGATCAGACAAGAGAAGAAAATAGAATATTACCGATGTCAGAAGAAATGTCCAACAGGTATGTTGACAAGTTAAAAAAAAATTGAAACTCTGTAGGTAATAATTTACCAACAATTTATATAAGGTTTGACCTATTACATTAAGTAATTGAAGTTATACATTATGCACAAATTGACATGTGCGTGGTGTTAAAGTTGAATCATCAATAGAATCCGGAAACAAGTTTGTAGCTTATATTAATATAAATAAGCACAATTTATATGTTAATACACTGTATGGCTAAACAACAAGAAAATATTGTTTTTTTTATAATATATCAGCAAAATTAAAGTTAATTGGTACGTGTTTCTAAACGGACATGTGTGTTTAAGATAATAATAGTTCTTGTGAACCTGTTGACCAACACGAATAAACATAATACACTGTCTTCTAAGTATGAATGTTTGAACGGCAAATAATATTTCAAGATTTTATTCATAACCGAGAAAAATTTCGTATGATTTTTTTATGTGTTTTGTTTCTGATGGTAATAAATTGCAGTCCACTGGCAAATCGGGGGAAAGCACAAATATAATGCGGTGTGTTCTATACCACCACATAGACAAAATTGCGAGAGCACACTATTTTTAATTATAAATATATCCCGAATCAGAAAACTGCGTTCTATACGAAGTCTTAAGGTAATAAATATTACCTTACCGCGTACATATATGTAATAAAACGGGAGTTTAGCTGCACAGGAATGACAATGTAACTCTTAAATGTTTGGTAAGTTCTCCGAAAGGAAGATGTGGATAATAAGTATACGCAAGAAAACTTTCAGGAAATTTTAATAATAAAAGCAGTTAAAAAAACCATAGATGTCACAATGTTACAAACCGAAGAGGTATCTGTAGTTTGATCTCCAGGTCAAATTCGGGGTTCACTTTGACCAACCGAGACACTAAAATGTACCCATTCTAGTTTAAACTCCGGTCTGGGTATCAGAAATGTGTGTGGGAGGGTAAAAATCATTCTGCTAATGTACTGAAATATCCAGAGCTCCAAGTCAGGATCGAATCCGAGACCTTAATTTCAACACTATAGCCATCGGTCCAGCGTTAAACTTTGTTTTATTTTTTATCAATATGCAGCAAAAATGATCATATTCATAATTCAGTGCTACAAATTTCTAACGTAATTTCTGAATAAGGAATGAAAATAAGACGATATACATTTGTATATATTATTAAAATTTATAGTTTGACAGATGATTGGAAAAACAAATGTAATTCGAAACAACTGTCAACCAGTGTGGTTACCGAAACACACTACTGATTGTGTCACCAAAGGCTTAATTGCTTATAGGGTTACTTTTATTATGTTAGCCCTTCAACACTATTGAGGAGAAGTTATGAATTTTAAAGGGATGATAATGTTCATTTTTCCATGTCCAAAATAAACTACCATGGATATAACTCAATTCATAGTGTCATTTGATAAAAATAAAATTTAAATGAAATTTACACACCAAAGATACAATTCTTCTGTGATTTGTTTACGTGGAAATACCTGGCTTTCATCGGTCCTTCATATAATTTTTAAGATTTTATTATTGTTATGTCATTACTTTAACAATTGTGAAAAAAAATGAACTGGCAAGTTGTTTTAATATTAAACATATATATCAGCCATATTCATGATATTTCTTAATGTCAACTTGCTAATATGTTTTTTACAATTTTTTTCAGTTCACGGTAGATGGAGTTCCTATGGTAATTGGGAAAGATGGGGAAGTTGTTCAAAGACCTGTGGTGGTGGTACACAGTCTACACGGAGACTGAGGTATTGTAATAATCCTTCGCCGAAAAATGGTGGGAATGGTTGTTCTGGATCTAACAGAAGTACAAAAAGCAGATCATGTAATACCAACTATTGTCCGAGTGAGTATCATCAACAATAAGGGTGTTATAATTCATGTATTTATCGCACACACATGATACAGAAAAATCTCAATTAAATGTAAATTTTTAAACATATATATTTATATGTGTGTGCTTGTGCTCAGATCGATTTCAGGTCCTCATATCGGAGTCCAATTTGATGAAATGATAAAGTATGAATCAAAATTGACAGCAAATTCGGATCCATTGCAATTTAATGCCATGTAATGAAATGTTTTGCCTTTTGCCTACCGTGGCATTTTGCTTTTTAACAACATAAAAAAATACGGTACCATAAAAAATAATTAAATTCTTTCAGTAAATGGGCAATGGACTAAATGGAAAAGTTGGTCGAAGTATGGTCCCTGTTCTGCAAGTTGTGGTTCGGGAAAACAATCTAGGACAAGAACAAGAACTTGCAGTAAACCTTCCCCGAAGTATGGTGGCAAGACATGTCCGGGAGAGTCAATGATGACTTCCTCACAGACATGCAATACTAACCCCTGTCCAGGTCTGTCATTTTACTTTGAAATGTCGTGTACTAAAGTTTTTGCATTTTATTGAGCTATTCAAATGTTTATCGTTACTATTTGTTAATATGAAAGACCAAATATGGTATAATTCAAACTATAGTGAACGTTAAAATGAAATTACCCGGTATTTTAATATAAGTTTTTGTGAAAGTATATTTTAAACAATAAATCATTCTTTTATCATGTAGTTGATGGAAAATGGGGCTCTTTCTCAAAATGGAGTGAATGGGGAAGTTGTTCTGTTACCTGTGGGCAAGGCCTAAAAACGAGATCTCGTTCAAGATCATGTGATAACCCTGAACCAAAGTACGATGGAATGTCATGTATAGGAAAACCAGTCACAGTTGACTCACAGCAGTGCATGGAAATACAGTGTCCAGGTATAACATCTATTAAGTATATTAGTTAAATACAAAACAATCCGAACATTCTTTGAAATGGTAGTATTCAATTGTTAACTTGTACGTGAGTTTCGTTGTCAGGAATACTTATACAAGAGAGTAATGTTCTTTTTCTTAACTGATTATGTCTTCTAAGTATCTTTTAGTATTCCATTTTCAGAGACAGAATTGTTGAAAAAGCTAATTTAACTTCGACCATGTTGATATGCATGTCCCAGTCAGACACTTCGTCCGTGGTAGTCCTAAGTTATAACTTAATGTTTTTGGTCTATAAAAATTTGTGTGCTTATTGCAGATCTAAGGTAATAGTATTTCCTATTAAATGTATCCACAACTTGTCAAGACTCAAGACTCTTATCTATTGTTAAAGAACATATGTTGACCTCTAGATGGCTGTAGGGTTTTTCTTTAGTGTAAGTTTACTGTCAAATTGGGATATACCTGAAATCTCATTTAAGTCATACGATTTTGTCTATATGGAATATAAAGATATGATGTTGTATGATTGCCAATGATACAGATATTCACCGAAGACCAATGGACATGGTTTTAAACAACTATATAGTACCATACAACGTAAAAGTTCTTTTTTAACCGTTTTTGAAATAAAAGGAGTATTCATTTCCGTTAAAGTTTTATCGTCAATACTTTTGACCATATCAAAAAGCTCCGACAAACGGTCTTTTTATTGGTTGATGGGGTCCAGAAATATGGTCACATTGTCTTATATTGACGTAAAATAGTAAATCCCATGTTACGAATGGTGTCCATTAGTCTGTATGGTATGTGCCACGCTTTTTTGCATCCTTTGTTGGCTTTTTGGTTGAAAAAAAATGTCTGCCCATAGCCATAAACATTCTCTTTCCAGTATAAGTCTTTTTCAACCCGCCCTTTACCCAAATCGATTCAATTGGAGGACATATGTCTCTTGGATTAATTGTTAATTAGTGTTAGTTCAGAAATATATGACATATTTGCATTTGGACATTAGGCAAACACCGTTCAATCAATAAATCATATTTGAGATTAAAACTTATCTTGTCTGAATTAGTTGATGGTGGTTGGACAGATTTCTTGTCATGGTCGACATGGACGACCTGTTCAGAAACCTGTGGTTTTGGTGTAGAAAAAAGTTTCCGTACAAGATTATGCGAAAATCCCGAAGCTGAGTATGGCGGAAAACCTTGTCCTGGTGATAACACAGAGGAAAGAACACAGCAGTGCAAAATAAAGGAATGTCCAGGTAGAGTTTTTTAATTGTTGCTGTTTTGTTTTATGTTTTAATTGCTTTATCATGAAATGAAGACTTATCTCAATCTATCAAAATCTGTTTTGAAATCCCTAAAACATATTTTTGTCACACGTTTCTTTGTTTGCAATGTTTCCATTAAAGATCTACCGTTTTATTACATAACTGTTGTAACTCGAAATTTGAATACCTCAAGAATATTTATCTAGTTTCACTTTGATAATGTACACCGTTGTATATAATGTTATTGTTCTTCTGAATGGCAATTAACTAATCTCGCTTAAACGTAGAAAAGCGACAGCTATTTGACAGACGGATACCGTATGATATTCAGTGCATATCTGGTTAGCTTATCCTTTTCATTGTGAGATATATAGTTATCAAACATTCCTATTCATACAAGCAAGCTTCTGGTCATACTTGTCATCACATTTAATCTATTTAAGGTTACTGTGAATGTAGCACAGTTGGTGACACACATTACAGAACGTTTGATGGACAATGGATAGATTTTATGGGATCATGTCATTATCTGCTAGTTAAGACAGCTCCGGACGACATTGACTGTCGTTTCTCTGTCGTCGTCATCAATAAGGCGGCTAGTCAAACCTCTCAGCTTCCTTATACACGTATCATAGAATTGGCAATAGAAGATTTCAAGATTCGTCTTCTTCCAGACAAAGTTGTTTTGGTATATATATAAACTTATAGTGTCGTCTGAGATTCAAAGTTGACACAAAGGGATCACCATTTGTCTCGTTGTGTCGACTGTCGTTTGTATTTCCGTGTCATGCTTGTTATCTATGTAGTAATCGTTATTTGTTATTGGATACAAACCAAACAACCAACACAGACTATGTTCTTAATGAGGCGTTACAACTCCTATTTAAAAGAATTTTCTTATTGATTATGTCAAGCCCAAAAAATTGCAATTCAGATGTAACATTCATATCTGATGTAGAAAACATTTTAGAAATTCTGAAAGGCCAACTAAACTTTTACAACTTTAAAAGATTTTGGCTGGTCTGTTGAAGCTTTTTGTGTTTCGATGATCTTAAGGTCTTCCTCCATCTTGGATTGTAAAATAGCAGAAAACAATCGGTTTAGATCTTTAATGACATGTTCATTTTTTCGAGAAAAGAACATAATTTATTTGTAAGACTTCATCTTAATGAAGAAAATTATATGTTTTATTATAGGAGAAACCCCAATTTTTTCTTATCTTATCTTTCCTGAAAGCACATTGAACGATTTATCTTCTCAAATTTTATCTTAAAATTCTATCGTTTATTTTTTTTTATCATTCCATGCGTAATCTATACAAAATCTGAAAATTTTGCACAACCTGCAGTTTGAAAAAACTCCCCGTCACTCATACATTTTATTATATTTTTGTTGAAAGCATTATATAAACTACATTGTGGCAAATTATTGAAAAAAATCTATCGATTTTAATTTTGACCACCGCTTTCTATCTTAAATGTTATTGATGTTGATAGACTCCCAAAATGTTCGGTTTCTCGATAAAGGTTATCTTTGATTTACGAGTCATTCGTACTGGGTTTCATACTTTTAATTCACAGCCAGTGGTTCAACACATGTCCTCAACTACTCGACCAGTACCCATTGCTGTTGTACTGGCATTATTTGAATAAAACAATCTTCTGTAAATTGTTTTTTTAATATATATTATGTTTTTGTACATTAACTGAAGATACAACTCCATTTGGCAAAATTTGAAGTCAGACGATTTTGGTTGTTCTTTGTATGCCCTCTTTGATTATATGAAATGTTTGATGTTTTAAGCTTCTGCAATTTGTTTTATCTCCATTATGTCCGATGAGGGTGATAGATAAAATGAACAACTTTTAGTCTTGGTTTTCACTTTAAAAATCTGCTAATTAACAATAGAGAAATACACACTTTTTAAGTTGTGTGAATATCTTTCAGGTTGATGGGACCAAGGTCAGTTTACCATACAATACGAAAGACAATTCAGTTAATATATTTGTAAGTGGACGTTATGTACGGGTACAAACCAACTGTGACGTTATTTTAGAATGGGATGGGTCAAAGAATCTTGAACTTGCAGCACTTGACACCTTTGCAAAACGTATGACAGGTATATGCGGAAATTGTGATGGGATCAGAAATGAATTTAGTGCAGCAAATTACAGTAACCCGTCAGATGAGCCTACAAAAATGGGAATGATAGTTGAAACATTTGCACTCGCAGAAGAAGCAAAAGAAGCTGGTGACACGTATGTTCTTTTAAATTAGTATGCTGCTCATGTTCACTAGGTATTTAATATTTGAAACCATCTTTCTGTTTCCCTTTATGATAAAACGGGGAAAAGGAGGAGGGGGCAGTAAATGCGTTAATCATTGTACTTTATGTGCAATATACCACTTAGAGATCCTATGAGCTGTTTTGCTTCTACTTTTTTCAGATTCAGTTAGAAGATTTAAATCCTCATTGCTTCGGAATGAATCTTTTGAGGTATTCTTAAATCTGAATGTTTTTACATTAAAAAAAAAACAACAATCAAAATTGGAGCAAGACAATAAGAAAACGTCTTATTTTACCCATAAAACGTTAACTGAATATGCATTTGCAAAATTTATTGTAGATGTGGCGTTTTGTCTGAAATACCGGCAACCACCAGTGCCGTGGAAGTAATTGCATCAGCACCAGAATATTGTGGACATCTGATTTTGAAAGAAAATGGTACTAGTCCTTTTCAAAAGTGTCTTGAAAGTTCCAGTATACAAGCAGATAAATATTACAGCATGTGTGTCTCTGATGTATCATTATATTACAACACAAATAATAATGATCTGGAGAAAGCAGTTTGTGACAACCTGGAATCGTTTGCCCTTCATTGTGCAGAGGAAGCCATTGCAGTAAACTGGAGAAGTGATGAATTTTGTCGTAAGTCGAACACACTTTAGAATGAAAATAACACTAAATAATTGTTGATGTCCGTCGCGCTTTTTCTAGTTTTACCTTCATCAAGAACGCTCAAACCCGAACATTTAAAAGCAAGGGGTATATACATACGTTAATCGTTTGTAGCTATGTGATCAAATGAGACCCACAGAAATAACCAAGCTAAGGTCAACTTTGACTGAGGGAGTTTGAACCTTAATTCCTCAATTAATAACGGGTAAAACAATGATATAAGTCATGTCACTACGGATGCACTGACTACAGAGATCTATGGTTGTTCGTTGAATGCTTTGAGTATGATTAACAAACAATGTCACCAGTATTTCATTCTTAATTGTAAATTTTCTAAAGTAAAACTACTGCATATTTTGATATTTTAAACAAACATAACAAATAAAAGAGTATTGATTTATTGTGTAGGAATGTTTAAAAATGTGTAAAGTCAGTTATTAGTCAGAATTTAGGTTCTATATCTCCCTGCTTCAACTGTATTTTCCATATAGAGAGAGTCAATATCTGTCTTATCTAAGCAAATATTTAAACAGCTCTATCCTGTGGTATCAATGAAGTCTACTCAGACCGTGTGAGTGGTTGCCAAGCTAACTGTGTCAACAGGGACAGCGATAAAACATGTGAATTACCATTCACTGAAGGTTGTGCTTGTGAAGAAGGATATATACTAAGTGGAAAAGAATGTGTTAAGGCTGAGGATTGTGGGTGCAGTAGTGATGTTGGGTATATTGCTGTAAGATTTTTAAAACGTTACATGATAGCAAAACGATTTTTTAAACATATCTAAAGATCAGCAATAATATTGTTTGTTTCAATACAGAACGATTAAATTTTATTTTGGCAAAAGTTGCCCATAAAGAATTCATGTATATTTTAATTGCAATCAATGATTTTATCAAAATACTAATCAAGTGCATTTGGGTTTGCGAAATGGGTTTTTGATCTTCTTGTAGCTTGGCGACGAAGTTTTATCAGCTGACTGTACAAAAAATTACAAATGTATCCGTATCAACGGAACAGGAAATCTTATTGAAGAAGCAGCAAACAAATGTCACGAGAATGCAATATGTCAGCCGAACGCTGAAGGAGATCTTTTGTGTAGATGTAAACTTCAGTATGAAGGAGATGGAATCGTAGAATGTAAACGTAAGCTTTAAGGTTAAAAAAAGAAATCGAAAAAAAATTAAAAACAAATTTTGTTATGGTTTTTAAAAAATATATCGAAACAATTAAAACCATAAGTTCACAATCCAGCTACAGTTTATAAACTTTTATTTTATTTTTTGAAACATAATTGAAAACAACACAATGATCAAATTTGGAACTATAACTTGAGGATGTAATTTTTAAAGAATAATTTCAAAGAGTACAATACGATATGTCATAACCGTGCACTTTTTCTTAATTTTAAATCAAAATGAGTAAATATGCAGTAAAATGAAAAGAAAATGTGATCATCTGTTTAACCTTTCTTTAAAACTATTTTTCAATTCTTTGAATAAAATGATTCACGAATTGAAAACATACGATAAAAACTGAACTTGATAAAACTATTGTTAGATTAAAATATGTCTTTACATAAACGAAAAAAGAATCATTCAGAAGTAGATTTTTATACAATTCCAAAGCATTACTCCAACATTAATCACAATTACATGTATTCAAATTCTGCACACTCTACAGTACTGTAGTTCTATTCGTCATGCTCCATTTCAAAATCACCTTCATTTTCCCATTAAACATTTTTATTTCTACAATATTGTTTCTACAACATTGAAATCACAGATTAAATGTCAAGTTTTAAAGTCACGTAGAACAAAATTTGTAAATAACCATACTTATAACTACAGCCAATACACTGAGGATGATATCATAACAATACTGACAACTTATTTGTCCGAATCTGGTGGATATATATTTTAAAATATTGGTATTCTAGATGAGTACTTATTGTGCGCAAGCAAATACTTGTCGACTTGTGTGTGTATCCATATGAAGCCGAATTCGTACAAAATCTTCTTAAAGATAAAAGGGAAATTATCTTGCCTAGCTATTTAGTTTCACGCTCAGATAACGATAATATATTATAGTGTTATTAACTGGCTGTTTCTGTATTGGCCCTGTTATAGATTTGAGTTTAGCTGTATTGGACCCGAGACTCGCAGAGTCGAGGGCCAATACAGCTGATCGAGAATCTAAAACAGGGCCAATACAGAAACATCCAGTTCATAACACTTTTATTAAATGATATTAATTCTTTTGATTAGAATAAACTAAGAAACTTACCGTGAAGAAGATACAGAATTTCATATCTGAACTTATCTTTTCGCATTCACGTCCATGGAATTTTTTTGTCATCATTGTCAGATGTAGTTTCTGATTTCTCGTCCAAGTACTTAAGGTTCATCATAACAAATGGACAAATATGGCCGTATTTTCACCCCAAAAACTACTCTGTGTACAGACTTACCTGTGCAGTTTGAAAAGTTTTAAGGCCTGACATCCACTAGATATATAAAAGTTAAATGCATTTTGTGTTTCAGAAAGATAAAATCGTTTTTGGATTTTGATGGGCATTTTTTTCCTTCCTGCAGAAGGTGTAAAAATAAACAAACACCTGAATTGCATTTGATACTGTCCACTCAGTTACTACCTTTAACTCATCTATAGATGTGTAAATATCTATTGCCTGTCTATTGTCTATGCCAATCAAGACAATCAATACAACACAAACCAGTTGTTACCTGAGAGGGAGCATCTCAAAGTTGTATCCCAACTTAGTTTATTTTTACACCTTCTGCAGGAACGAAAAAAAAAAATGTCCATTAAAATCCAAAAAAGATTTTATCTTTCTCATATGCAAAATACATTTAACTTTTATATATCTAGTGGATGCCAGGCCTTAAAACTTTTCAAACCAAACAGGTAAGTCTGTACACAGAGTAGTTTTTGAGGTGAAAATACGGCCATATTTGTCCATTTGTTATGATGAACCTTAATAATATGCTATTACAATTCATTTTATCTAGCAAATATAAAGTAGATGGGAAGAAAAAATCAGACAGTTAAATTATTCTTACTCTTGGGTCGTCTGCGTTCTGATGATTGATCAACGGAAATGAACCAGTGTCAATAATCGAAAGTCGTACTCGAAAAGGCTATGAAATATTTCCGTTTCAAGACTTCAAGACGTTACAAAACACTGAACATCATTTACACTTTTTATTTTATGATTAAGTTAAAAAAATATAATACAAATGTTTTTATGCATAACGATACGTCCAAAGTTAAGTAAGGCGTAAGAAAATTGAAACCGGAAGTGAATGTCCCGTATTAGCCCATGGACCAATACGGCTTTTTTTCCGTATTGGCCCTGTTTTTCCTTATTGGCCCTGTCCGAAAAGCAATATTAACTCTTGATTTATATCGACAGGGCAACGTCATCAGTATTGAACATGCTGATTTATCCGTATTACATGTAGGGCTGATTTGCTCATATCATTTAATAATGTAACATAATGACCCACATTTCAACGAGAGATCAAATATCATATACTTAGTGTGGATTAGCATGGCAGTTGATCCATGCATTGCAGGAGACGCTTACCCTGTTGATGCATCCGGTCTCATTCTTTTTTGTAGTTTATGTTATTCCTTCAGTTTTTGTTTTGTTACCTTTATTTGTCTAATTAATCGATTTATTAGATTAGACCACCGGTAAACTACTCTTGCCTAAATATATACGTGTACAAGTGAATTCTTGCCTAAATATATACGTGTACAGGTGAACTGGATTTTGTTGATATTACTAAACTAAAAGGTCTGCTTTATATATGGAAATCGACTCAGATAGACGACTCCAAACTAGGATCTACGACAAATTTGATGATTTCAACTTTTCTATTTCTAAACAATTTCTCAGCTCGCCCGTACATTCTATCCTTAGAATTGCATCAGAATACCTTTATGAATACGTTTCCCGAGAGTATGTTTGCATTATTCTATTTCATTAAACAGGGATGCACAAAAACTAATAACAAGATTATAAAAATGAACGATTAAAATCGACAAAACAATATATCTAGGGTGACCATCACAAGATACATATTTTAGTGATTTTAGATCTTAAGACAACATAATAGTTGTCTTATTTTGCATTACCCAATGACTTCTTTTACCTATGGATATAACATTAAACATTAATAATTTTACGACACCAGGTGCACATTTCGACTACGGCAAGTAATGTCTATTCAGTGATGATCGGTGCTCTGAAAGAAATGTTGAAGAGCTGATAAAACCGAAAAAAAACCAACAAAAGTATTGCTGACATTTACAAGAATCAGAACTATGCATAAGGGAGATAAATTTCTTAATTTCAAATGATATTAAACTTTCATAACAGCAAATTTGAATGAAACAATAACTGATTATTAAGCCAGTTGTTAAGTATTGAGCTGATACCATCAGCAAAGTTATAGACCAAACGGCAGTTATGATATTAAACAGTATCATTTTTTGTACCAGATGCGCATATCGACAATCTATAACTCTTCAGTGATGATTGAGGCAAACTATTAGATGTTGTGTTTTGATATTTGAAAATCCAAAACCTAATGGAAACGTTGAATAGCTCATTTAACCGAAAAAGAACATAAGATTTACATTCTTCTAATTGTATTTGCGAGTTTGAACATCAATAAACTACTGTTGCCTGTTGTTTTGAGCATTTTTATGTCAAACTGTTGAATTGGTGACATTTCTTCAACGTCATCTGTCATTTATCTTCAAAGTATAGCAATTAGATTTCTTACGTACCACGGTATTGTCTTTAGTCCTTTAACTAGAAAAGTGATTTATTTCATTAGATGATTGTTTCAGCATTTTGTTAATGTTATTTTTATTGTAAGGAAGGTTTATTTGTTCTTCCGCATATCTAGAAATTTGTATCGATATCTATATGATTATTATCAAATATTTATGTGTGTTACTTAGACTATAAAATGTTCAATTTCCATTAGGGTTTACTTAACATTTACTTCACAGCTAAAGAAAAAGACTGTACCTTGACAAAAAGTGGTACTAATTACAAGGGAAAAACCAGTATTACAGAATCCGGCATTTCCTGTCAAGCATGGGCCGAAAAAACTCCCCACAAGCACAAATATGCTGTTAAACTAAGTGATCAATCAAATTACTGTAGAAATCCGGACGGTTCTAATAGACCTTGGTGTTACACGATAAACAAGGAAAAGAGATGGGAATATTGTCACATCCCAAGATGCGGTATGTATCCCTCGGGTGCTTGTTTCACATACATAATAAATCATCTTAAGTTAATTGTAAATACAGATGATAAAAATAACACATATTGGAGTATTTACAATTTCAGTAGAAAGATGTAATTCTAAAAAAGTAAATGAACTGCAAGTATATAAAGACATTTTCACATTGGCACACTGTTATTAGTTACACAGTGTTCTAATGACCTATTTCGATATGTATGGGGTCAATGAATTACATATGGGGCAAAATCAAAGCTGGTATTGGATCACTAGCACACTGTGTAGTGAATTTATCTTACCAACTGCTAAGTATATTGATATGGGGAATTTAGACGTAGTTGTAAAAAATTATAAATATTTTTCAGATGTTGTCATAGTGATCAATATGAGTTAATAAAGCCATATTTAGTGTCTGTCTGATGGAGTATTACAGTGATCAAGTCAATATTAAGAACCTATTTGCACTGGTGTATACATAAACAAATGCCAATTAATTTAATATCAAAAAACAATTCAACATCAAAGAACCTTGATATCATATTTTAAACACAATAGTAAACAAAACTTTTAATTATTAACCGCGAAAAATTTAGCATCTCAAACACATCTTTCTATCTGAAAACATTAAAAATTATAATTATGCATAATACAATGTATGTTAATTTGAGAACAACACCGGTTTTTTTTTCTCAAACGTAACTCTACAACTAAATTCTACTAACATGTGTCTAAAATATAACAGACCACTGACCGTGTATTAAATATTCACGGTTTCCATGTATTCTGTTTTAACCAATGATATCCATAACAGTTTATTGGAGGTAAGTGTAAGAAATACAGAAAAACAATTTTTAAAACACGCCATTCCGTCAATAAGTCACATGCAGAGGTATGACATGGCAAAGACTATAATGGTCATAGAAAAACTACAGCATCAGGCATAACAAGTGAGGCATGGGGTTGAGAACAGCAAATCATTCATGGAGATAAAACATTGGCATATAAGAAACGTATTGTCGTAAACCTGATGATTCAAACACACCTCAGTGATATACTATAAATACCGGTAAATACAACTTTCAACATCTTCGCTAGCCAAGGGTTACGATCCAGTCCCTTCGTCTTCACCCTTGGCAGATTAAGCCAACATTTGTAATAACAATGTTGCGCCATCAACCGGTAGATAAAAGTCACGCCCATTCCTACTTCATCACTCTTGACCAATAGAAGCACTTGAACTCTCTTCAGTGTGGTGGTGTAAAAATGGTTGCGTCTAGTATTTACAAACTTCGTAAAGCTGGAACCGAAATTATACGTTGACATTCCAACATTTGCGCAAGAAACATACTCATAAACTTCTATTAGATGATCACGAACATTAAAATTTTCACTAACTGTCGTCTTATGTTTTGGGGATAAAGACATGTTGCACAATCAGCACGTGGCAATTGTTAATTTACATTTTCTACATTTACACGTGATCATCTAATAGGCGCTTTTTGATTGGATGCAGCCAGTTACAACTGCGACCAAAAAAAATCAATACCTCGTGGGTCCGAAATTCTATCTTAATCCGCCAAGGGTGGAGAGGAGGGGTCTGGATCGTAATTCTGTTTATATTTTCTATACATGTATGTAAAAGTTAAAATAATTATTCAGCTAGTTCATTTATATGATTTTTAGTTTAAAGCTACTATATGCACAGGATTTATTTGTTTTACAGTTTTGATTTAGAAGAAAAACCGGTTAGAAAATACAAATCAGTACACCATTACTAACACAATTCTATATTGATATTCTTGTAATGGTTAGAAAATACATAAAATAACACCATTACAAACTTAATCCCAATTTTACATCCTATTTTTAGAAATTTACCTTTGACGTCACTTTTTGTGACGTTCAAATATTCGTGTGACGCACAGTTCATAATTGTATTGTAGTGTAAATGGGAGGTGTCCGTTGTTATTCTGTGGTTTACATGTTGTAATGTACTATTATATTATTTATTTATGTATGTCTCTGTCCTGAATGTTCTTGCGTTTAGTTGTAATGTATTCCTGTCACGTAATGTTGTCATTTTAGCGGTACTTTTAACATTGCCATATAAGCGGGAGGTTTGACTACTCCTAAAACCAGGTTCAACCCACCATTTTTCCTTAAAATGTCCTTTTACCGAGTCAGGAATAGGGCAGTTGTTATCAAATAGTCCGTTTCTATGTATGTTGGCGTTTGTTTTTGTAGCAGTTCAGTGTTTATGTTGTTCCGTTGTTTTCCTCTTATAGTTGATGTGTTTCCCTCGGTTTTGGTTTATGACCCGGATTTGTTTCAGTTAAATCGATTTATGACTATTGAACAGCGGTATACTACTGTCTGGTGCCTTTGTTCGTAACCCTTGGCTAGCGAAGATGAACTTTCAAGTGTGGTGGAAGAGTCATTTAAATCACATATGTATGATCTTTCAAGGGAAATGAAATATTTCAATAATCTTATATGGTGCAATCTATCGATGCCGCTAGAAATTATTTGTACTGCCAAGTGTGTTTACATTAGTTTTGTTTTTGCAAGAAACCGTTTTACCTTATCTTTGGTTTTCTTTACATTGTCTTTATCTTTCTTGTATTAAACAAGTGGCTTTGAATTGTCTGTTTTCTTCGACGCATGATATTTTTGTTTGTACCTCTGTACTTTGTATATTTTCAATGTTAATTATTATATCAAGTAAATAAAAAAATAAGTATTGATACTATGCTTTTGCTCTTTTCTTTTAAAACACTGTTCTATGGGAAATTTCTCGTCATATATATTTAAAGTACCGAGTAAATAATTTCCCAAGTACAAGCTTTGTAATTACCTATTTCTCAATTAATCATTAACAGGCAGTGGTGCCATAATTATCTGACCTCATCATTACTGTGCCTTCGATTACAATCAATATCATCGTGATCTCTTTCTGATATGGTTTCCGACTACATTTGAATATTACTACAAAAATTCTACGACCTTATCTGATTCTTAAGTTGATGATAACAATAGTCATATTTTCGTTTTGGGATTTAAATCGGGCTCTATATCAAATTTTTAAGGAGTGTTTGATCTGAGATGATAGTTTCTATCTGCAGTCATTGATGAACATTTTCCTCATAAGAATATAAAAGTACCGTTATATCATACTTTTTAATCACACTTCTTGTCCCACAGACATTAAAGAATGCAAATCTGACAAGAAAGGGACAGATTATGAAGGTCACAAGTCAATTACAACTTCTGGAATAGAATGTCAGACTTGGGCAGCATCTGAACCTCATAAACACAGATATTCAAAGAAACTAGCTAAGGATAAAAATTACTGCCGTAACCCTGATGGATCTAAAGAGCCATGGTGTTATACATCTGATCCAAATAAACGTTGGGAATATTGTGACATTCCACTTTGTGGTAGGTATACCAACAGTATAGTACAATGTAGAAATCATACTGGTGAATGTACTATACTTTATCTCTATTTATTTCAGTAAATAGTAAAAAATATTTTTGTGTCTCAAGGATCCAAAAAGAATCAAACTGTACTGAACTTAACTCGACCAGAGACTGAATTTGTCTTAACATATTATGTCAATCTGTTAACAGTACTAAATTGAAATTGACAGTAATCTAAACTGGACTGACCAGTCTGCATTGTACTTGCGACATTTTTGACTAAGTTAGAATGTTTTTGTTTACCAAGGCTGTTCAAAGATATGTCAGGTACAGGATAAACTCCATATATGTGGTTCAGTATAAGTGAAGTACAGTTAACACTAACACATTTAACAAATTGTTCACATATTATCGAGTATAATAAAAAGTGAACTTTGTATCGTTATGGGTATTTCTAATTTAGTTTTATATAAAAAGTAAGATTGGTATGAGCATGTAGGTACAATTAAGGTCCATTTACAAACATATATAATCAGACATTTCCTGAATGGGTGAGGTAGATTCAGTACGGTACAGTACCTAACTTGTCGTTTTAGACCCTTTCTACATTTCAGTGAATATTTCAGAAAAAAAAGTATTTATACACGTTGCCTTGCTCATTTTTTACAGTAATAGCAAGCTTTGGAAAAAGTTTGATACACATGAATTGCGCTTTTGATGTAATATTTTATTGGTATGCTTTTGGCCAAACATAATCATTTACAAAAAATGAAAACAACACTTTATATATTTCATGCGTTCAACGCGCTTTTATGGATTTACCTGTATCAGGAACACTGAAAACCGAATATTTAAAAGCCAAGGATGTATAAGAACCGAAACGGTTAAAGAGCTTTTCGACAAAAAAGTACCTGAATAAAATAACCAAATCCATCGTGAAATGCAAAGCCAAAACAGTATTGCTAACTGTATTGACAGTTGAAAACTTTTGGTCTGCCATTGAGAAGCATAACAATTTAATATCTATGGATTTCATTACAGGATAAGTATATTCCAGTGACTCATTTCATAATTTCTAATATGAATGAATGGATATGTGAATATACGTCAATGAGACATCAAACCCAATAACACAAATAATAATATCCGAATAATCAAAGAACAGCTAGAATTTGTTTAAATGTGAAGTTTGAGGTGTAACATCATCTTATCAAAATTAAGGTGTAAATTTCGGAAACAGATCCTGTGATATTACTTAAAAAACAACAATCAAATAAATCAAAATAGGATATTTTTTGGTTAAATGAAATAACTCTTTTCTTCGTCTACTAGAATATAATTGAACTATAGAACAAAATATCACAATAGATTTATTCGGCAAACTATTTGGTCATTATTCAGAACACAAATTCGGGAGTGTCAAAATACAATGTAATATTTAAAAGTTGAAATTAATAAAAGGAGTTAAAATCTTAACTAAAGATAACAAAAAGTGAAAAAATAATTGTAGTTCAATCGTAATAAGTATTACTACACCATTCTTTTAGAAAGCGACAAAAGATACACAAGGGAAAATAAAAAAACCACAAAGAAGAAAACCCGACAATACCACCGTAGATATTCAATATAATGGGCAAACTAGTTCATGCTATCGTAAATCTGTTAAAGGAAGGAATAAAACTTTAGGACTAGGCATCCTTGGTTCAATATCTTCCTCATAAGCAATAACGCATAATCAAGGAAATCACTATAAAAACGCAAGTTCTGGAATATCTTATCAAATGTGAACCGGTTTCTCTATTTACAGGCGTTGTGGGAATGTTGCTTTTTAGAAATGTAAATAACACATTAGGAAACGTGAAATCACCCCTTTTGTTTTAAACTTCTCGTTAATAACTTGTAGCTGTAAGTCGAGATGAACACATTTTGTACGTTTTGAGCGGCAGATTACAAATTTTAATTAAATTTCACGCATTAGTTTATCCATGAATAAAACAAACAATTTGTCCATGCTTTGTTTATTTGACAAATCTCGTTGACTGTTTTATATGTTTTGATCCAATAGTACAAATTCATTTTTGCCCGAATGTTTAAAAAAGTGGAGTAACTATAAATTATTGATTTTAAAGTAAACCTTACAGTATTAAACAGTTGGTTATTATTTTGTATTGTTACACCACTCTCCCAGAATAGGGGGATGGTCGAATTCTAACAATCATGCTTAAATCCGCAACTTTCTATATGTGCCGGTCCCTAACCTAGAGCCTGAAATCCAGTGATTATCGATGGTTGCTTTCTGCTATACTTTTCTTTCGTTCATTGGTGATGCATAAAACAACCCATTATTTTTATCTTCTGAATTGTTTCACATTTTTGTTATCTTTTTGTAGCTTACTATTCAAATAGAAGTTGTTTATTGTTGAAGACCTTAATGTGACCTGTAAATGTTTGTTCTCTAGTCTTGAAAAGATCCAAGTCTTATAGGCACTCATACCCCATCACCATAACTTCATATTGACATTTACACACCACGCTACTAATTACAACATGATTTATCTCTAACAAAATATAAATGGTCTATTTCTATATCTCATCATCATATAACACGTTTAAACAAAATCCTGGCAGTTTTTCTAGGGTATCAGCAGCTCAGTGATTTATAACAAACATTTCTACAATTGTAGGTTCATAAATTGAGAAATTATTAAAAAAAACTAAGGTTTCCATTCCCTCAGGCACAGTTAACCTTAGGTGTATTTGACTATTATTTATTAGTCCTTTTTGGTGATGTAGCTCCCCAACTGTTTCGGTTCTTATACATCATTAGCGTTCAGATATCCGGCTTTGGGCGTTCCTGATGAAGGTAAATCAAGAAAAGCGCTTCGGATGCATGAAATTTATAAAATGTTGTATACATTTATTTCACATAAGGTTTGACAGTTATTTTTACAAGTATTTTCTTTTGCAAATTAAGAGGTAAAGCAATGTAAAGAAGATGCAAAAGGATCTGATTACAATGGCCATCAGAATACAACTTCATCTGGAAATATTTGTCAAGCTTGGGGATCCCAGGAACCTCACCGTCATAGTCTTAGTAGATTAGCTGCGGAAATGAACTACTGTCGTAATCCGGATGGCTCAAGCAAGCCTTGGTGTTACACACTTGAGAAGGAAAAACGTTGGGATTATTGTGATATTCCATTGTGCTGTAAGTATCTTCTTTACCAAAAAAAACTCTAATTGAAAAAAATATATTGTACAATATTAAAATAACAGATTAAAGTAGCCATGGAATTCGTAGCGTCTTTGTTATAAGTAGTTTGATTATTTTAAATTCTTTAAACTTAAGCATATTTTGATGTTGTTCTTTAATTTATCCACACTAATAACGCTCACTCCATTTACTAAAGCAGTGGCAAACATTTTGTTTTGTTTTTACTGTTGTTGTAAATCATCTGCTACTATGATCACCAAGTCAAAGTATCTAATTCGTTAGTACAAAATAGATAAAATAGAAGATGTAACTCATAAGTCGAAAATAATTGTTTGAATCTGTACGAGAAATCAGAAGTTTTTGTTTAAATGATTGCCGCAAAAATGAAATTTTTATTTGCATAAAATTGGTTAATTAATTGAAAAGAATATTTATTGAGACAAAATTACTCCTTTTCAGGAATAGAGAAAATCGTATGGAAAAAAGAAGAAAAATGAACTGACTTATAAAGACCATTAAACGTATTTGCAATCAGATATCTTTCTGTTGGATCTTATGTTATATCCTACTACCGATAAATACGTTGCTATTTCATTTACATAAAACAACCTCATGTTGAGAAACATGCTCCTTATATATTTTCAAATCTGCTTTGACTGTACTTTTTTATTTTGACTAATGTAAGAATCTCCTACTCATCTTCCTCCTTCACTCCATTATATCACCATTGACACTAATCAATTAAAAAAAAATATGACGCAATGATGTTAAAACATCAAAACTGTTTGTAACATTCTAATATCAAGGATAAATTTCAGACTTCTGACATAAAAAAGAACCTTAGCATGATGGATAGCAACGTTATTTTGTTGACAATGTGTAGAACTTAGCATGAATACATTTAACGGTACCAATTTTAGTGAACCAGATGCGCATTTCGGCAGTGGTTCTCGAAGCCAAAATATTTGAAAATTAAAAACCTAATACAAACGTTAAAGAGTTGATATAACATGTACACATATTCGCTCTACCTAAGAGACTAAGCACCAGATGTTTAAATTGTAATGGTTGTTTAGGACTTTTTGTTAACAAAAACAGGAGCATAACAAGGACAAACAAGTCAGTAATCCATATTTCCAATTTTATAACGAAAATTAACTTTCATCAGAAATGTCTAATGCCAAACATTTACGCAATATTTTCTTGAATACCTACGTACCTCTGTAAACTAATGAGACAACCACTATTTTCAAAATTAACTTAATGATTTTCTTCAATATTTTGCACCAAAAACATACTTTTATGTAAATTATTTACCGTTTATTCTTCTTGCACACATGGCCTTTCTATAGGACGCTTTGTTAATGAGCTGTTACAAGACCTAACGCAAATCAGATTAAGGTCTGCAATCAGACCAGGTTTATTATCTCCGGTTATTTTCACCTAGAGGTAGGTGACATCTATATAATACATGAAAAGTTTAAGTGTTTTTTTCTTATATTTAAATCAATTTTAAAATTATGAATTGACAGTATTAATTTGATGGTTTAAATATAATCATTACTCATAATGTTTTTACTTATGTGTATCGACAATCTTGCATTGTCACTTTGGTGAGTGTTTGGTGTTTTTAATTTTTGCACTTTCATTTACCAAAAATATGACTTCAACAAATATATCCTAATTTACGGTAAACTGTAATGACTGGAACTGGAAATCATCTAGAAATGCACTAGAGTTTGTGATAAGGATTCAAATTATTGATTAAAAAAAAGATACAAATTCAGTTACTAGTAAACTGCCTCTATTTGGGTTTTTAAAAAGATGTAGATGTTATTGTAACTTTTACCTTATTCATAAGGTGAAACTTGTTTTATAGAAGTATTGAAAAGACAGCGATGAGAGCTTCTTGTATTGTTAACCCCTTTTACATGTAAAACAAGCATGAAGAATACCTAATAGAAAAGGTTCTTATCTTGGAATATATTAACAAACAAAAAAAAACATGATTTCGATGTATACTGGCTAGTTTAAGAAAAATGTCTTAAAAACTCGCATAGGGACAATTGACAGTTCACTATCATAGTCCTGAGTAGGTAAGCATCTTAGCAAAAGTTGTTACAATAGTTCAATACGTCATACAAATGATAACTAGAAATTAACAGTGTTATTTTTTAAATAACTTCTCTTATGTTAGCTAGTTCGTTTTCACGCTTTAAGCAAGTTTGTTTACAATCCACCCGAGTTGTGTACTATATGTAACGTCCTGATCAGTATATAATAGACGTGTTAGGAAAGTCAATACGATTTTGACACTGATGTTAAATACCAATACCACTACAGGCTATAGTGGGGACCATCTTAAAAAGCACAGCTAATCATTCATTAAAGTTACTTGTATGATTTTGTTTTATAATACTGAGATGATTTTTAAACAATAAAATAATAACAATTTATTTCGCAATACACGGGCGAGGATCCAACAAAACAACAAGATCATTATTAATATTATTATCATAAAATTGCATTGTTTCATAGCAATCGATTAAGTTTAAGATCGTTGTTCCCATATTTCTTACTTTTTTTGCAATGCAAAAAACTAAATAGAAGAATTTCAGAATGTCAAGTTTATGTCGAACACGCAATCGGACGTTTAAAAACATTTAGGGTTGTCGGAACTTTGTGGAGACATCCAAGACACGAATCAAATCAAATTGTTGAATTGTGTGCTGGACTTGTGGAGAGGCAAACTGAGTTATTTGACTATTAAACATATTCTACTCATATCATTTAATGTATATATTTCGACTTGTGGCCGTAAAAATCCGTCATTGTCATTCTTGACCCTTTAGCTTACATATATGTTTTAAAGTTTTGTTTTGCACTCCTAAATCAAACAAATACAAATGAATGTATGTACCGATTATCAGGTTGTCTGCATATTGATATCGTAAAATATCAGCTGCGAGTCACAATATGAAGCTTTTTGTCGAGTGAGCACAGCGAACGAGATCAAAAAGGCTTCATATTGTGTCGAGCAGCTGATATTTTACGATAAAAATGTTTAAAGGGATGACTTCAACTTCACCTCGGTTTAATAGCTTCCTTGAAAGCAGCAACCCTCTATCAAGGAAATTATGATAGGAAATGTAAGCTCTGTAATATCGTATCGACTGGGAGATATATATTCCATAGCGTCTGTAGGCTTCCAAAATGTAGTAAGTTACTAATTTTTCAACAACAACCAAAACTCACAAAAAGGCTTTGAAAATTTTGTTTATATGTTTGCTTCCAAACGTCTTATGTGAACTTGAATATTTTTGTAAATGTCTGTGAAATAAAAACTTGGATATTTCTGGATAACACAAAAACTTACATTATTTTCACAGAAATAACGAAATGTACAGTTTTTGATTCCCAAAGCCATTATACAACAATTTTCAAGTTTACATACAGTATTCTGGAAACAAATTAAACAAACAAACGAGATTGGCAATTTTGTCAGATGCGTTATTTCAAATGTTTTGATTAGTCTACATGTATGATATTTTGGAATATAAGAGATTTCCTCCTGCCAAGCCGGTTTGTGTGAAAAAGTAGTTTTAGCTAAAAAAAAAGTACTATACTACGTTTTAGAAGCCCAGCGACGATATGCAGGCGCTTCTGGCATGTTGCTACGAATAAATGTTGACCTTAGATAAATTCTGGCTCTTTTTTGTCTAGGTCCTTTTGTGTCATATAACTGCCAACGTTTGTATACATATTTATACATCCCTGGCGTTCAAATGTTAAGGTTTGAGCATTCCTGGTACATCAATAAAAGCGTCCTGGACGCACGAAATGTTCATATGCATGTCAATCTTAATTTGGTACAACTCAAAAATGTGCAGATAAAGTAAACTATTTTTGCGCCTGTCCCAAGTCAGGAGCCTCTAGCCTTTGTTAGTCTTGTATGCTTTTTTTATTTTAGTTCATTTATATGTTTTGGAGTTTAGTGTGACGTCCATTTTCATTGAACTAGTACACATTTTTGTTAAGGGGCCAGCTGAAGCCCGCCTACGGTTGCAGGATTTTCTCGTTGTGTTGAAGACCAATTGGTGGCCTTCGGCTGTTTTCTACTCTTTGGTCGGGCTGTTGTCTCTTTGACACATTCAACATTTCCATTCTCAATTTTTATTTTTTACAGAGTGTGTCTTTAGTGCCGTGTGGAGACAGTAGAGTGCCTCCCCGTGCTTCAGGTTTTTGCTCTTATAATATACAAGATAATGGAGTGTGTGTCCGAGCGAGAACTTCTCTATGTTCTTTCCTTTAGGAATATTTATCTTAAACTCATATTTCACTATTCAGCCCCATTCTACTATTTAATCAGACGTCAGGCGCTACCCTGATATACCCTATCTTTTGTTTTTTGTCCTCTGGTTTTGTAGTTTACGTTTTTTGTCAGGTACTTGATGACGGATAGCGTTTGAGGTCTTTAGCCGAACAGTTTTATCTTTTTACTTTATTCAATTCCTGTTTGCTGGTTCATATTCTGGACGTCTGTATTTGTTCCTTTCAATTGGAAATATGGATAACAAAAAACTAAAAATGAAACTCAGAAATGGAAAATACTAAATACCAAACTCGTTCAAAGGGTATCTACACGTCTCAATCTTCAAAATCGCTTATCTAAAAATACTACAATCGCTAACATTTTTAATAATAAAAATAGTGGTTACCCTTCTGTTGATAAGTGTCATGCCAAAAAATGACTTACATGTATCCGTCTTTCAACCAAAAATACGGTAAGGTCCACGTTTAATGGTCGCACATTTTCCTTAAATTTTGAAACTGATATAAATAGAAAAACTAACAGTATTATCTATTTACACAATTGAAACAAACCGGGATGCGGTATTCAGTACGTAGGTGAAACTGGACCCTATTTATCTAAACGCACGCAAGAACACCTTTATCGTTTTAAAAGACCCCATAAATTTAAAAGTATCATTTATCAACACCTTAATAAGCACAATCATCCTATTAATCATTTAACAGTTCAACCTTTAGAAGTAGTAAATAAGCAGCCTGGGGAATCTCATTCAAAGTTTGAACGATCACGGAAAATAATTGAATTAAATTGGATTAAAAAATTACAGAAGTCTATCCTCTCGGTCTGAATGATAATATCATGGGAATTGATAATATATCCAGAACCGATTCTGTTAACATTTTGGATATAGTTTCTAAAACTGTTCGTACAAACCGTTCTCATGGGCGTAGAATAAATCGCAATCAGAGACTCACTCCGTACTTACTGCTCGAAATGGATAAAACGAGAAAAAACTGACAAAAAAATCATAAGATTCTTTTTTTAATTCAGTAATGATCATAGTTAGTATTCGTATTAAATGTTTTAAAGAACATTTTACTCCTAACAACAACCATAATAGCCATATTTCTCGTATCAAACATATGCTAAAAGAACTCGCCAGGGAATTTGTTTTTGTCCCGGCTGATAAGGCTGCTAATAATATCCTTATTGTTTGACGTAAATTTTACATTGAGGTTCTGCAAAAGGAAATCACAAATTCACCAACATTCCAACTGACTCCATTTTCGGAAAATGACATCTGTAACAAACATAAACTTTTAGCTACCTCTTTACAAGCAGAACCAAGTACAATGAAAGTTCCAACTATGTACTGGCTTCCGAAGCTGCACAAAACACCTTACAAATATAGATTTATTTCATCTTCAAGCCATTGTTCCACTACCAAACTGTCTATTCTACTTACTAGTACACTTGGTACAATCAAAAACCTGATAATAAATTGTTCAAATAAGGCCTTTACAAATAGTGGAATTAATTACTTTTGGAGTGTCAACAATTCGTTGGAAGTACTTGATAAATTGCATGCTTATATTGGAATTCGAATCTGTTCAAAGTTGTGATTTTTCTACCCTATATACCACTTTGCCTCATAATCTTATTAAGAAAAAATCACACACCTAGTTAAATGGGCATTTAAAAAGTCAGAATGCGAATATATATGTTCTTACTCTTTTAGGTCATTTTTTAGTAACAATAGACAAAAGAACTATGTCAATTGGACCTGCTTTGATACGATAACTGCCCTTGAATTTTTACTAGATAACATTTTTGTTCGCTTTGGGGATTCCGTATATCGTCAAGTTATCGGAATTCCAATGGGGACTAACTGTGCATCACTTATTGCGGACCTGTTTCTGTATTGTTATGAGTTACAGTTTATGACTGAAATCAGCAAAGACCCATAGAAACAACATCTAATACAAAAATTTAATAACACTTTTAGATATTTGGATGATATGTTGGCTTTCAATAATGACGACTTCAGTATGTACACTAAAGAGATTTATCCTGCTGAACTGGCTTTAAATAAAGCTTATACTAACAATGAACACTGCCCTTTCCTGGATCTTGATATCCATATCTTTAACGGAAAGCTTAATACCAAAATGTATGATAAAAGAGATGATTTTTCATTTCCTATTGTTAATTATCCATTTTTAGATGGTCACGTTCCCTTGTCACAATCTTACGGTGTTTATATATCTCAACTTGTTCGATTCGCTCGTGTATGTAACAACGTATTTGATTTTAACGAAAGAAACCTTTGTATTACTGAAAAATTATTACACCAGGGTTTTCGATACCTCAAACTAGTCAAAACATTTACTTAATTTTATCATCGGTACAAGGACATCATTCGTAAATATAAATCAAGATGCAGACATCTTATACGTTCAGGTATTTCACATCCAATCTTTTATGGTAATATTCTATACAAAGCACAAGAACGTCGACATTCACTTCAAAAGCTAACCAAACCTTTAAAAAGACTAATTCAGAAGGGATATAGTTACGATACTGTTGTCATGTAATTATAGGTTGCACTTTGTAAATACAACTGTTTCTCAAACCACGCCTCTTTTGGGGAGATATTTAATATTCATAGGTATGTTAATTTGTTAACGTACTGGTTCCCATTGATGATCTCTGTGTTTCATCTCATTGAGACATCACTTGGGAATGTAACCAGTATAGAAAAACATGGTAGCGGCTAAATTTTAATTCTTAGGAGGTCCAAAAATGGAGGTAAGGGTAGTATAGAATTTTAGTATAAGTTTAAACTCTTAGAAGTTCAGGGCATATAAATGTTGAAAATATGTCGCACAGCCCTATATTTTGACCTTTGAATAAAATAGTAGTGCATATAAACTTTCCGTTCTGGGATATTATTTTTCACGAAACTTCATAGTAAAAGTGTCACAGTTTTAGCCGCAAAGGGAGTTCCTATGGGAAATTGCATTGTCTGTATTTACAGAATTGCAACCTATATAGGGTTAAAAAATAGAACATACAGAATTTCACAAAATCTGGTTTATCTCAGAGATTTTAAAGAATTTTACTCAAATATGAAGTTTTATAAATATTTCATGAAGATTGAGAAAATCCTGGGCCTTAACTATGATGACTCAGCATAAATTCACAGTTTACAGTATGCATGGTTTACTTAAAGCCCTGAATTCAAAATAAATTCATAATATATGCCTATATGTAATTTAAATTGTTTAGAAGTGCTTATATTTACTCTTCGCAGTAATTGCAACTCATTGATCCTTCCTAAATATTTCTGGTGGGGTGTTTTGTCCTGTCGATAACCCAAAAGTAAGCCGTAACGCCTAAATGTGCTTTTTTGTGACTGCGGCATAAAAAAGTACAAGCTAGAATTACAAAAAGACCTCAGTAAAACTTACAATAGTGTGTTCTATCCTAAATATGTAGTAAATATTCCACATTGCAAGAAACAGGGGAAAAAATTAGGAAATGTGAGGCCCCAGGGGCAAAACACAGAGAAAAATGCCTACCCCTGAGTCATAAAACAGATAATTTAACTTGTAAATGCTATGATTTTTTTATTTTAAAGGTCTTTTATAAAGTTAACAATAACTGTGCTAGGAAGTTATGCAAAAATCAGATGTAAGCAGTCATTTCAATCAAACTTTTAGTGAATTTATGCACCAGACTGATATCTTCATAAATACAACTTTTGCAAATATGGCTTTGTTTAAACACTTCTAGGACATATAGTAACTAACTTATGTTAGATATATGGTTAGGGATGATACTGTTGTGACAAGAATTCTAAACTGACCATTTGAGGCAGAAATTGTGAACTTTCATTGACAAATAGGCATACAGTAAGATGTGGACTGGAGACACAGGCAGGATTGGATACTTTGTATAATCTTGAATGTTGGAATGCTTAACTACTAAACAATACATTTATAGTATTCTAAATAGCTTTCAATTTGTTATCAGAATAGTTTCAAACAGGTTTTAGACAGTTCATGCCAGAAAACATGCACATAGGGTAAGCTGGCAATAATTAGAGTCTTGTTTTCAAAATCTTTAAAAAATTGAAACAGGGGTAGGGGTATAAAATGTACTGTAAAAGGAGACTTAGAGTATATGCAGTGATTTCTTTAAGGCTATAATTCTGATAAATAAGTACTGTTGTGAGAAAAAGTGTTTTTAGAGAGTTTTCTATTTGAATAAATGTTTGTATAGGTTGCACTTTGTAAATACAACTGTTTCTCAAACCACGCCTCTTTTGGGGAGATATTTAATATTCATAGGTATGTTAATTTGTTAACGTACTGGTTCCCATTGATGATCTCTGTGTTTCATCTCATTGAGACATCACTTGGGAATGTAACCAGTATAGAAAAACATGGTAGCGGCTAAATTTTAATTCTTAGGAGGTCCAAAAATGGAGGTAAGGGTAGTATAGAATTTTAGTATAAGTTTAAACTCTTAGAAGTTCAGGGCATATAAATGTTGAAAATATGCCGCACAGCCCTATATTTTGACCTTTGAATAAAATAGTAGTGCATATAAACTTTCCGTTCTGGGATATTATTTTTCACGAAACTTCATAGTAAAAGTGTCACAGTTTTAGCCGCAAAGGGAGTTCCTATGGGAAATTGCATTGTCTGTATTTACAGAATTGCAACCTATAGATGGCATATTTTTGGTATTAATATTGATTCACTCATTGGAAATAAACACATTTATTCTAAAAACCAGTTGTTTGCATGATACGGGTTGTTTTTCTCATATATTTTATGATGGTATGATACTAAACCCCTAACGGGAGGGATTGTGCTTGATTTTCATACGATGAAGACATAATCTTTCAATCAGTTTAATTGAGTTCCGGAGCTGGCTTGTCAGTAACAGCTAGTAGTCCTTTGTTAATTTATGTATCATTGTCATTTTGCTTAGTTTCTTTTGTTACTTATTCTGACATCGGACTCGGACTTCTTTTAAACTGAGTTTTACTGTGCGTATTGCTGTGTGTTTGTTTATTCTACTTTGGCTAGAGGTATAAGGGGAGGGTTGAGATCTCATAAAACATGTTTAACCTCGCCGCATTTTTGCGCCTGTCCGAAGTCAGGAGCCTCTGGCCTTTGTTAGTCTTGTATATTTTTTGAGTGTGACGTCCATTTTCATTGAACTAGTACACATTTTTGTTTAGGGGCCAGCTGAAGCCCGCCTCCGGGTGCGGGATTTTCTCGCTGTGTTGAAGACCCGTTGGTGGCCTTCGGCTTTTTTCTGCTCTTTGGTCGGGTTGTTGTCTCTTTGACACATTCCCCATTTCCATTCTCTATTTTATGGATGTAACTCAAACAATTGAGATTAAATATACATGTCATTCGAAAGTAAGGACGCTAACTATTCCAATGAGTTTTGTTTGAAGAAAGAGTCTGTACATTTTTACAATGATTTTTGTAAAAATATATGTATTGATGGTAAGGACATTTTTTAACTATTCTATAATATATAAATGACAGGATTTTAGCACTTATATATAAAATATATTAGGAATAAGCACATCCGCCATGATAAAAGAAAGTGTAAAAAAAGTACTGTTACATAAACTTCCTCGAATTAATGGTTGATGTAATATATGTGATTATATTATTACAGCTGGTAAGTTAGTATAGATTAACTAGTGTTTAACACCTTTATGTGACACCAGTAGATTTCTTGTTACTAACTTTAGTTATTCTGTTTCCATTCTTCATACATTTCTATTTGTGTTATAGAGATGTTTAGTCTGATGCATTCCAAATGAAGGTTGATTTTGCAATGCACTGATGCAATGAATGTTCGTATTTTGTTTTCATAATTTTGCGGTCCATATAAAAGAGAAACAAAAGATCAACTGGAGAGTCTAGTTACATGTAGATGAATCACGCGTCTGGCATACACAAAAATACGTGTATTTTTATGAGTTTTAAAAGCATTGGGTCCAGGCCACGGCTGGTATACAAAATTATAATCCTCGTATATTTGAAGAGTTTTGCTAAATCTTTGGTTTTCTGGTTGGTGTTCATGGAATGTTAATTGTCTTTTCGTCTTTCTTCTGTTGGCAATGGTGTTTTCTTCCCTTTTCAACTGATGATTTTTGATTATCCCATAGTATCTGCTTTCTTTTTGTAATGTTAAGTTTCTGAAATGAAGATAAGAAGATGTAAGTAAAACGTCAACGAAAAAGCTACCTAATGACGCGAATAACGAAAAGACATCTAATAGTCAACATAAAGTCTTCGACCTTTGAAAAGGTTTCAATACGATTTGTCAAACTCTTAGCCTTCCTGGGTCTTAAAACTGCATGGATAAATCAAAGAAAAACTATCAGATGTATGTATACGATCAACAGTCTTCTTCCTCAAAGAGATAAAACATTTAGTTATAACATCAGACAACCGCTGAGGGAATTTATGTCCCCCACTTTCAGATTGATTTTTTGTTGCTTAACGTCCAGTGGTAAATATTTCATGCATGTTCAGGACGAGAACAAATTAACAATAAATACAAAGTAATAGTAAAGCAAATACAAATCTTGTAGTAGAGGCCATCCGGGATGAAGGAAAATGAGGGAATAGGGATTCCTCCCTTTAAAAAAAACACAGACAATTGTGATTAACGACAACGGTACATGTATTATTATAATCTATCAACTAAAACTAGAAGATTTAAATGGCAATTCATATTCTTGACAGCTTTATAGATGACGGTACCATAAACAGCTGGATGCAAAGTACCGCTATTTGTCAAAGGAGTAGGCCCGGTAAGACCCCTTTTTGGACCCAAATTATAGCGTTAAAAAATGTCACTTTTAGCTATTTATTAGAAAGTAGAATACTTTTGTTACATAAATATGGGCAATGTGACTTTTGAACACCGGTATACTACTGTTGCCTTTATTTGACAATACATTGGACATGCATCAGGTATTAGCATCATTATTTCATGCAAAAATACTGAAATCTTCACAATTTCAGCATTTGTGCTTATTTTAAGACGTGTTTTGCTAACAATGGAAGTGGCCGCACTTGTGTGCAGTCTTAATATTTAAATGTATGTTGTATTTAATGATTATACATAACATATATAAATGTTGAGACTGAACACGAATACGGCCACTTCCATTTTAGACGAAAACTATCTGAAACTTGGCGTTTTGTGGCATATTTGATAGATTTTTTCATATTTAAGCTTGAATTTGAGCGTCTTTAATGACCAAATCAGTTCAAATCTTTAACATAAACTAATTGAATCGACTGAAGTAGACACTTGGGTGTTTAAAAAATGTCAAAAGCTTTTCATCACATGTACTTTGAATTTTAGGCCGAAATTAGCCCTTACCGGACCTTCTCCTTTGTACATTTCTGTCTCATTGACGTACATCCTATATCTCCTTTTATTGATATGTATAATATATGTAACCTATTTGATATCATATAGACCGAAAGAGAATAGAAGTTATCTTGGGAATAACCATGACAGACAATGTATCTGTAAAATATGTGCACTTACACCCAAAGTATTCGAGACAGTTCCTATGTACAGACTGCACACACCACGTTAGGAAACTGACTCTCAAAGTATTCGAGACAGTTCCTATGTACAGAGTACATACAGCACGATATAACACTTACTTCAAAGTATTCGAGACAGTTCCTATGTACAGATTGTAAACATCACGATAGAAATCTCAATGTAATTAAAAATAAAGAATATGATTATAAATTTATGGCACAAAATACCTACATGCACTTGATAAAATCAAAGCAAAAAAAACTATTTTTTATTGCTGTTCTCCACATCAAACTCTAAGCGAGTCAATTAAAATATGAGCAAAGTACATGTTTTGTTTTTATTAACCATTCAAATTTAGAAAAGCGAAGATGTCGCACTATGATCCAGTTTTCGTTGAAATACAAGACTTAAGAACAGAATTAAACAGAGAAGAACTAAAGATTTCAGGTGATATAAAGGAAAGAGTAAAGAATATAGAGGAGCTAATGATGGTAATATTTAATGGACTATTTCCTAACTTATAGTGTGGGAACAAAAGTTGCATGATAAATTAATAAAACTTTTATATACGTTTTATCATGCGCTTCAATAAAGCCAATAACACTGACATGTGTAAATATTGCATTTGCTGCGCAATAAATATACGATAACTCGTTAAAGTTAAAGAATTCAACCAAAGAGAAATCAGTATTCAACGAGTACAATAACAACACGTTGATTCACTTAAATGCGCGTTTTATTTGTCTTCAAAATCAAGGTATTTCATTGCAACCTAGAATGCTAAATATTTTCTTATCCAAGTGATCAGAATAATTTCAATTTTTTTTCGCCATTTACATACATATTTTTACATTCATATAGCTTTCATTAAAGCAGATGTGGGATATAAGTCCATGGGACGATAGCCCAACAACAAAAAAAATTAAAATAATCAAACGACATCATATCGTTAACATAAATATACGATGTTAACTGTCAGCGGAGTCTACGAATAAGTTTAACAAAATTTTCTTTTTTTTCGCAAAACATTCATGTTGGTAATTTTTCAATACGATTAAGAAATCTATCAATTTGTTCGATCGCGCTAGCGTCCCTCCTGGAAAACATTTTTGGTAACTTGGAAGTAGTGTTTTTGTAAAGTAAAGAACTTTTGATTGTACGATTTTCACACAATATTTTCCTCTCATGGATTTGTTTTTGACAATAGGCTAGAGAAAGATTTTGTGCTGATCACACATCAGACAGCAGCGTTGAAGTGCAAGCTATAGCCAACGAGACTTTGGACCATCCTTGGAATGAACTGTTTCAGGAAGGGAAAATAAAATTTAACATGAAAACTTCAATGATGTCTGGAAATGTAACAGGTATTTACGTCCTATCTACTTCTAGGGGCCTAGAACCATAGAACGTTACTTTTACAAAATAAAGACCAGTCAATTCACAAGTAGTTTATCATTTTGATTATTCTTTTCCAATTATTATTTACAATTAAATTCCTCGTGAATTTTCATATTTAACAAATCATAAGTATTTGTAATATCCTTGGTTAGATAAAAAAAACCCAGTGAACTCAATTTAATTCAGGAAGAAATATTTTTGTTTTCAATCATTAAATGTTTAAAAAAGAAAGGAACTGAACCACCCATACATTTTTCCCCAATGTGGTTTGATTCACTATTAGCTAACATCCCATTTGTTGCTAGGCTAGAATATCTATGTTCCTTCCGTACAAGACTAGTTGCTGCATTTTATGTGGAAATTTCATTCCTCCTTTGATAGGAACAATTTTTTTCAGTTCTGACGAGGCCAGCACAACATATATACTTCTAAAATCTGCCTGAACTTCCAATACCCCCCAAAATTTTAAGGGTCGTCCCTTAATTAAGTCTATTACTTTTGTTGAGATGGGAAGAAGAAATTCAAGTACAACTTAATATAAAATGAGTTTATTACAGTTTTATCAGAGTTCTTCGACTGCACAACCTGTAATTCTTTATCTATTACGTAATTGTGATCCTAACTGAATGCTATACCAAAAATCATACGATTACGTTTTTTGTGCGTTTTTTTATGTAAAAATGTATTCATGTTGATTATTTTGTCATCTCACAACTATCATGGACAAAATAGATATATACATGACATAAAACATGCTTTAAAACTGATGACAGCAAATCGTGTAAAAGTTTGCCTCTGTATTGCAAGTCTTTTGGATTAAAATTCACGTGGATTTTGTGGAAGCTTATATTATATATATATTTTAGTAAATAGGGAGAAAACTTTATTATCATTTATTTGTGGAAAATTGAGCTTTCAATTGTTGATGAGACATACTTTGTTAGGTTAGTATAATCTATTCAGTTTTATTGCATAATTTCCATGGTTTCAGATAGATAACAGTTGCATTTTATTAGTTCAGCCATGAACACCGTACGATAGCGTACGGAAAAGGTTGCCACTCAGTAAACCGAGTGCTTTCTATAATCAAATAACTCAAACCAGCAATTGATGCAGATAATGTATCAGTAATGAATGTAGGAAAAATGTTGCCACTCAGTTAATCGTTTGTTTTATATGATTAAATAGCCAATACCAGCAATTGTTGCAGATAATTGATAACTCTTCGGTGTAAATATATTTGCAGGTTGTTTTTTGCAATTTTTAGTCAGTTCTTCCAAAGCTAAGACTGTGCTAGAGATTGGTACATTTACTGGATGCAGTGCTTTAAGGATGGCAGAAGTTCTGCCACCTGATGGCAAAGTTACCACGTGCGACTTTGACCCATATGTCGTAGAATTTGCAAGAAAATGGGTTGACACATCCCCTCATGGCAACAAGATTGAAATACTATTAGGTATTTGTATAGATTTAGTAACCTATAAAATAGATAAAGCAAATTTATATGTATTTTAAAATTATCATCATCATCATCATCGTAGCGAGCTCGTTTACACCCTGCTTTTCCAAATTATGTTCCGTCTTTTATTTCTTTGATTAGGTTATTGGTCATCCTTTTGTAGCTGGATTGTTTAAAAGTGTGTATTACTGTTATGACATATGATCTAGATGTAAACAAAAGGGTTGTTTGTGTGCAGATAAACTTGTTTAACCCTACCACATTATGTGCATGTACCAAGCCAGGTTATCCAGACCATCATGCATGTGTTGTTGGTTGTGATTAGGCTTTCTTTGCACGTTAATTTTTTCCGGAGTATTCGTGTATTGGAGGTTGGTGTGGTATGTTGTATGTCCAATAGATTGTTAATTCCTGTTTACTTTTTTCATTTATTAATTAACGATTGTTATTTTCTGCAAAAAGAAAATTTAGACCTTAGGTACTGCAAGGGTGATGTTATACACTGCTTTACAAAGATAGACCGTAGGGAAATATGTATCAACTACAGTGTGTAAATATCTTGCACAAGACAGATGTTTGTTGTATATGATAGTACAAACGTATAACAGTTTGACTTGTGTGGTATTGATAAAATTATAATAAAATGCACATGTTCCAAATACCTTAAATATTCAAAGACTTATATGAAAAGATTGTATAATGGCATTTTCATACAATCCTTTCTCAACCAGAAATGATAGTCCAAACTGGTTGAAATGACTGACACATGAAGGGTACAATACACCATTGAGTATTATGGGCGCAGCCATTTTATTAAGATAACATGATATTCGGAATTAGGAGTATGGCAAAGGGAACCTATATTTGTTTTTACTAAAATATACTGTCCTAATAATTTCTCTTTAATTCTAGGAAGGTTTCGTTCTACAAATCAACTTTCTGAAGTCTGCATCTTGAAAAAAGGCTACAGTTGTCGCCTATGAGGAAATTAAAAGTATTTTGCCATCTAAACTGTGTAGCATTTTTTCATTAATTCGAATCTGATCTTTTATCAATGCGTTGACCTTTAATTATTTGCATATAGTTAAAATTCTAGCTATGTGCTTTTAAAATCGAGATATTTAGATAAGCTGTTATTATTACTGTAAGTATTTGATAATCAAGTATAGGTTCTATTTTGTAGGATATGCTAAAGAAACATTACCTGATTTAGCCAAAAAGGGATCAAAGTTTGACTTCATTTTTATTGACGCTGACAAAAAAAGATATGTAGACTATTTCAAGGTGTGCTTCTACAATACTTTTAATTATATATGGCAATAGCTTAAGGTTCATCATAACAAATGGACAAATACGGCTGTATTTACACCTCAAAAGCTACTCTGTGTACAGACTTACCTGTGCAGTTTGAAAAGTTTAAAGGCCTGGCATCCACTAGATATATAAAATTTAATGCATTTTGTGTTTCAGAAAGATAAAATCTTTAAAAAATTTTTAAGAATATGGTATTTTATTCAGCTTCATTTTCTTAAGGTTTATGTCTTTAGATACGAAACATATTTCAAAACTTCAAGGGTGACTATGAATACACAAAGATATGGTATGCTTGGCTGCTAATCAGACATCAACCATGAACCAAGAACTAAAGGACGAAAAAGAAATATCTACTGGATGTGTTTATGTAAAACATATTGACGAATGCTTCACCTTTCAGCAAGCATTGAAAGATAGCAACTGCAAAAACAATGCAGCAAAATGTGAAAATCAATTGAAAAGGAATTGACTAATCCGACCAGATAAGCATGCGTACTCCCATTATCAATAAAATTGCTGAACATAACACTTGCATGTTTGCGTCAGTAGTTTCATTATTTTACAAGTAACAACTTTTAAGTGTAAATCTTCACTAACAAGATAAGAAAATAATAATATAGGTAAGTTTTAAAATTCTACAGATATAGTAAGAAAAACAACAAACAAACTTTAAGGATATACGGAATATAGCCATAAACAACACCAACAATATAAATTTTAGAAATATTTCAGATATGTTTGGATTCATTGTTAGCACAAGGAGGAACTATGGCAATTGATAATGCCATGTTTTACGGCACAGCTTACGCCGAGAAACCACGTGGTCTTTATGGAGACCATACAAGACAGTTTAATGAAGCGGTTAAACAAAGACAAGATATATGTCATGTATGTCAATGCTGATTTTTTTTATAAACTTATTTAAGTGAAAATTAGCACAGTATTTAAAGACTAATATAAGTCTTAAAAAGGGTATGACTACATTTCAACGAATGTAACTTCATCTTTTTTAAAGAAACAAAGACAAATTATATCATTCTATATGTAGTTTATCAAAACGATGTTATTGGTCAAGACGTCATATGGTATATGAAAAAAGACATGTATCTTTCTTCAGTCCCTGGCGACAACTTAAGTGAACAATCCGTGGCGTAGAATTGAATGCAAAAAACCTCAAAAAATCGCTTTTAACAGTGTCCGGTATTAGACTGATGAGATTGTTGTAATAATATAACATAACATACACTTTAACAATTTTTTTTACCATAAAACGTCGATAGCATTACTTATTTTCTACACTTCTTACTTCTTTATTTTGTATACGTGTATACTTTTATTATACACATTTTCTACTGTACAGGGGGCTTTACATAAAACAAACCGGCCAGAATAATAACCTCATATGGATACATTTTTTGTTGATGAATTCACATCACAGGCAAAACATAAAAATCAATATTTTTCACCATTTATTTTGAATTTAACATCAATTTGTTTTTGTTGTCAATCGCACGCAATATTAGCGACAACAAAACTAAAATTAAATTTATTCCATTGTCCTGATTATCTAATTTCTTCATTGGCACATTTTTTTTTTTGGTTTTTGTTTTAATTAGAAAAGTGTCTTTACATTATAATACGTAGGAATAAATAACATAACTTGATTGTTCAACCCCTAAGGCTTGTAACTGCTAATAAAGTTAATACAATAACCCAATAATAATGACGAAAAAAACATGTACAATATTTATTGTATTATTCGCAACAACTGAAATCCCAAAATCCGGCTGATCTTTAGACATTCATACAAGAAGCATCTGAAAAGGAAACGTGAAGCATGAAAGTTTTATGTTCCATCCTATAGCTAGGTTCCAAAATGTCTTTTATTTGTAATCTATTTTATGGACTCAAATAATTGTCAATAACACGATATTTGTTTGTTTTTCAATATTATTATTATTGGGAGGGTTTTGTCGAACAAGTGCCGCAAAGTCTGCTAAAAATCATCTCCACACAGGATAGAAACAAACTCGGGTCTTGAATTGATAAGTAAATTCCATTTCGTGGCAAATGGAATGAGTAATTGTTACAACAATATCAGTTTTATATTGATCAATGAACTATCTACACAAACAGTCACCGCCGATGGTATTGACGTTAGCACTTATTCATTTATCTGTAAAACATATTTACACATTCGACAAAATTCTGTCAGAATGCAACTTAATAACGACAATGGCAAAAAGTATTTTGTAACACTGTGAACATTACTTATTGAGACAAAAAACATTTTTTTGTATTCATAAACAATTTAACAAACTGTAAATGGACATAAGTATAGATTACGGTTGTTTATCAACAGGTATTGCTACCAGTTAGAGATGGTATAATGTTGGTGAGAAGAAAGACTGACATACATGGATAGGTCCAGTGAAAACATATATAATGTATTGACACTTGGAAACTTGTTTGAATATCTTTTTCCAGTACCTTTTGTTAAAGGACTTGAATTTTTCGGGAGGTTGAATCACTTTGTTATAAATACGGATATACTTTAGTCAGTGCTTACGACATATATATAGATTTTGACTGCATTTTTTTCACGAATAAAATATATGCTTTATTTCCTTAAACGAAGATTGCTGACAGCCCATGATATACCTCTGGTTTTCCTCGACAAATATACAAGTCAAATGAATTACAACACACGTAACTAGAACATACACATAAACAGCACGTTTATAGATACAGCAGTTCGAAAATTTCAACACTCACTTTTTACAAGTTATTCATAAACAGATATTTATTTTGCTTCAACCACGTTTCCGTCTTGCCAGATATTTATATTTTAGTAACATTGCTTGGATAGATATCAAAATAAATTTACGACTGAGCCCATGTAATTTGTGGCACCTGTTTATTCTGATATCAAAATATGGACAGAAAAGTAAAACTGTAAGCTGGTCCCTACAATATCACTAAAAATATATATAAAGAATATAAAATTGTACAAGGTTCCGAACCCTGTGTTTCTCCTTTGATTGCTGGTGTCAGTGTAAAAGTGTTATTTTGACTTCCAAAAGCTAAGTCCATTTATTAGTTAAAAAAATGTAACTATACACCATTCTAATGTGCTTTCTCTTAATTATTAAAACTGGAGGACCTTTCGTCCAAATGTAAAATTCCATGAAGGTTTTTTAAAGTTCTCACAGTTTTAACATCTTTCACAGACGTTCCTAAATGTTGATCTATAAACAGAACGAAGTCCATTTATAAGTTAAATAAAGAAATTTGTTTTTACTAAAGATGGTTATGAAAATGTTTCTGTAATAGATACCTGTAATGATAGTACGAAAGTGGTTATTGGTTTTGATCCTAGACTGTATATGAATATAAACTGTAAAAAAGTTCATTTACCAGTATCATACAGCATATGGAAAAAAATATTTAAAAAATTTTGCTCTCGATACTAGATGAAGAGGTTAATTTTGACCAGTGTGTAAAAACGCATCAAAGATACATGGGCTCTCGGTCATAAAACTTTACTCTGTAATCGGAGTGCAAAATTTGTGCTCGAAACACCAAATCCAGCATTTTGATTGGTTGAATTCTGAGTCTGAGTATGATAATCTTACTCCTAAGCTTTATGACCACAAGCCCAGGTTTATAGTCTGGTAGGCCAGACGCGCGTTTCTTCTACATAACACTCAATAAAATCATTAATAGCGAAAATTCCGAAAATTTGTGCCAAATACGTCTATAAAGGCAATCTATACCGGTGGTAGAAAAACCTTAGCATTTTGAATATTTCAACATTTAATAAACAATAAAATTACAAAACAAATATCATGATATGTCATGTCAGCACAAAAGTACTTACTACTGAGCTGGTATAATACCTTCGGACACGAAACGTCAACCAGCAGTGGCAATGACCTTTTAAAATGTAAACCATTAACAAACTGCTAGAACGTCAAGTATAATGAAAATTACACAATTTTGTGCGTCCGAAGAGGCTTCTGTGTTTATATTCATACGCATACCCTATACTAAAATTTTAAAGCCAAGGATGTATAGTACCTAGAACACTAGAAGATCTAAATGACTAAATCGGACCAAAATATAATGACCAAATTTATCTGAGGTCAACTTTGTCTCAGGGAGTTGAATCCCTAGTTTCTAATCAATTTCTAAAAGTATCAACAAAGATTTTAAGACAGGCACATGTTTTAAATGATGTCAGTCCGAAGCACTTACAACTGAGCTATTTTATAAAATATAGCCGGGCTTCAAAGTTATTGTGAAACTACCTATTCTAGAGGTGGCGTGAATCAGATGTGGATACAAAAAAATTCCAAAGATCTTTTATAGTACATACAATCTAAGACCTATTCATCTTTCAATAGTATTAAAACATTCGACTTTTCTACACTTTACTCCACTATTCCCAATTCGAAACTAAAAGATAATTTGAAAGAGTTGGTCCTGCTTTGTTTAAAAAAAAGAATGGCCAACGTAAATACAACTATCTTGTCTTAGAGAGGGATAAATCGTACTTTGTAAAAAATCACTCTGATTCAAACAAAAAAATTCTCTGAAACTAACATTATCAAGATGCTTGATTTCTTGATTGACAGCATATTTGTTACGTTTGGACGACGTGTGTTTCAACAATCAATCGGCATTCCCATGGAAACGAACTGTGCTCCTCTTCTTGCCGACTTGTTCCTTTATTTGTATGAGGATGACTTCATACAGGAACTTCTTAAGAGGAAAGAAAAGAAGTTAACAGGATCCTTTAACTTCATTTCCGTTATATATATAATGTTTTCTCACTAAATAATTCAAAATTTGGTAACTATTTTGAAAGCATCTATCCCATCGAAATTGCGATAAGGGATACAACAGATACAGTTAGGCCTGTCTCATATCTGCAGTACGATCTAGAAATTGACAATGAGGGTCGGTTGATTACAAAAGATATTATTTCAGTTTCCCAATTGCGAACTTTCTATTTCTATGTAGCAACATTCCAGCAGCGACTGCATACGGAGTATATATCTCCCAGTTGATACGATATTCCAGAGCTTGTATTTCCAGTCATGATGTCCTTGATAGAGGGTTGCTGCTCACAAAGACGCTATTAAACCAAGAGTTCCTAGTGGTGAAGTTGAAATCATCTACTAAAGTATTCGTAAATTTTACGGACGCCAATACGAGTTGGTTGACTGTTATGGAATATCCGTTTCACAGATGACAACGCATATGTTCCAATTGTAGTAATTACAATCCCGTCCCCTTTTCCCAGAAAGTGACCTACCGAATTAGACTTATAACCGGGTTTGTACTAACATGAGCAACACGACGGGTGCCACATGTGGAGCAGAATCTGCTTAACCTTCCAGAGCACCTTAGATCATCCCCAGTTTTTGGTGGGGTTCGTGTTGCTCAGTCTTTAGTTTTATATGTTGTTTTTTGTGTAATGTTGTTTGTCTGTTGGTCCTTTTCTTTTTTAGCCATGGAGTTGCCAGTTTATTTTCGACTTATAGTTTGGATGTCCCTTTGGCATCTTTCGCCTCTCTTCTATTTTATAAAATATAAGAGCAAAGATCTAATATTCTAAAGTTTACATCCATTTGAGGGTTATTATATAATATTACCTCTACTTACCATCAAATATATCTTGTTTGGCATGTCAGAGGACATGTTTTCTTCATGAAATCTGAATACTGTCCAGTCGTACAATAATCCATCCAGGTTTTACACAATTCATCAGTTTTATCTTCAAGCGGAATGTCTATAAATGAAATAAATTGAATAGAACATAAAATACAAGTGTAATAGTACTACTACTCCTGGTTCTTCAAATGATAATTAAGTCGAACGAAAAGAGGATTAGAATTGAGACAGTCAGAACATTGATAATAAACCAGTAACTTTAAATGTATTAACTACGACTACCACCAGCAACATTTACTACTACTATTAAACTTTTATAAGATTTTAAGTCTTCTATTCATAACCAAGCCTTTGTCGTGTGTTGTCTTTATTTTGAATTGCACTCTGTGATTTTTTAATTTTATTGTAATTTTCTTCGAATTATCTTTTGCCCGTGTTATGCGACCGTCGCTGTTATGGTCCCTTCATTAATTCTGTCTCTAAATGAGCTGACTATACGTAATACGACTAGTGTCAAATGTTGAAATTTTCATTTTAATCTTTTATAAGTGAAGTTTGTGTAACTAAATCTGTTTTTATTTACAATAGTTTTGTGGATTGCTATGTCTTTGTTAATGTTCATATGATAGTTCTACCTATCTTCAAACTTTTTTTCTGTAATCAATGTTACATTATTATGCTTTAACAATATATTTAAGGAAACAAGTATAGATTTAGCCTAAGATACCAAAAACTCTTTTTAACATAGCACAAAACCTGGAAAATCATTTCTTCAAAGTCAAGTAAACACATTATACATTTATTTCCCGTGCCGGTGGGAAATATGAAGATTTGTTCACCCAAGAATATTCATATCTCCCGAGGCAAAGGGAAATGAATGTTTTATTCCACTGCCTATGCTTTGTTTACTATCAATACATTTAATATTATTTTGCATACATTTTTTTTCTTATCCGCTTGTTTTTGTACGTCAAACTAAACACGACATACCCATTGATAAACAGTAAGGATCAAAATTTAATTATAAGTCTTTTTGTTTTATCGTCTGAAATAAATTTGAACATGATAATGATTTTTGCTATCGCTATTTTACGAAGAATAAGAAGTTCAAAACGTTATGTACATTAACCGCGCGCAACGTCGCACGAAGTAATCCCGACATTTCAGAGGGGAATATGATCCTCAGAATGGAATATGAAGATTTGTTCAATGACACGTGGGATAGTCTCAACCAATCAAATATTGATTAAACTATCAATATGTTTAAACAGTGGAATAAAACATGTTGTCCCTTTTCATCAATACTTTAATAATCCCGCCTATGTGTTTATCTATATGCATGTATTAATAAATTGTTTCCATAGTCTCACCTTTTTTAATCGACACGTTGTATATGATTTCCACAACTTCAAAAAGACCAGTTATAAACACAATTTTTACAAAAGTTGCAGTAAAATTCATTTACATTCAGTTACCAATTGTCAATAGTTAAAACTGAAGGAAAATATCGACTGACATGTAAGACAAAAGTAATAGATAAAATGTGATACTAGCATTGAACATATGTCACGCTAAATAACTATATCTACATTTTCCCGTTTTATTTTACAAGAAATTCAATCAAAAGTTAATAAGTTGTTTACCAAACGACAAGCCAGGTATCTTTGATGAGTTTTTACAACCACTGGGTTGATATTACTACTGGTGGACGTTTCGTCTACAAGAATATCACCTGACATCAAATGTTATTGATAAGTTCATATTCTGTAAATCTACTACTTATACTTATACTAATATTCAAACTCTAAGGTTTTTCTGTCCCCAGGTATATACGGTTATTAATGCTCTTCAACTATTTTGATTTGAGCGCTACTGCTGAGTCTTATGTAGACGAAAAGAGCATGTGTCGTACCAAACTATAATCATCGTGTCTGGTGAGTTTTTATTGCATCTCTAAAAGCGTTTGTAGTAAGCTTTGTCGTGTTGCTTGTATAAATTATAAATGTAGAAGTGTGAAACAAAACCCAAACTGGCTTTAGCAGAAAAAAAATCACTCGTAAGATCAACCTTTATTTAAACCTTGCAGAGGCTACTAAATACTTTGAGGATCTTTCTAGATTCTTTTAGCAGGTTACTCTTTACAAGATGTAGCAACGACATATAATGGTTATTAAAACAAAATTTACAGGTCTATTTGGAACATTTCTCTTGTTTATTCAATTATTTTAAATGTTTTTTTTTCTCAACTTTGACTTGAATTATCTAATTAGTTTTAGTAGAAGAAAATTGTACACAGGGTCATTTGAATATTTTCTTTGATTCCCATCGAAGGATTTCCCTGAATGCTCTGAAACTGCTCATCAAATGGCTTTCTTACTATGTCTTCCCTTCGAAGAACGGAGACGTCTTGTATAAGTGGTATTTTTTCTTCTCCGACAACCTTGTTCAAGGCCAAGACTTGTCATCTTTTTACATAGAATTATCATATTGGGTACACATTTCTTGTCCGAGACATAACATTTTATCCTTTGACATAGGCTTTTGCTATTTTCCACTTGTATATATTATCGCAAGACGAAGTGAAACGTATCATTTACAATGACTTCTGGTCTTTACCTTCTATCTCACAGTAGACCCATTGATTTTGGGGACAAATGTTTGTGTCCACCCACAAACCATATATACCTTTCTATTGCACTTTAGAATATGTCATTGGGAGTCAATCCCGCCCCCTATATATATATATATATATATATATATATATATTTAATTTCTCAGAAACAGTTTAGATCCCCACCCTAAACCATTTTGTTCTTAATTGTCATGCAAAGATCTTTCTATTACTCCACAAGTTTTTCCCTTCATATACTTAATATCTTGAAAACTGTTGAGATCCCAAACTATAAACCATAATACTTAAACAATTTCAATTTCGTCCGGCCTTTCTCCTGTTTTTATTTGAACGTCACTGAAAACTCTCGGGTAGACTAAATGTCTGACGTCCTAAATGATTAGCCTGGTATCTTTGATGAGTTTTTATAAGACCTTTTTAACGCACCATACTAGGTTTTGTCCCATGGAGTCATGCCTTGATCATACATCAAATATTGTTTAACTTCTTGACAGTTCAAACCCCTAACCTTAAACCATATATATTTTCTATCTTGCTATGCACCTTAAACATATATATTATTAGTTGTCATGATAAAACCTTTGAATTGCAAGATGGGTTTTGTTTCTGGGGTTATTTTTAAACCCCTCTTAAATTCTCATAAATTAGTTAATATCTTGCTAAGTGCTCAGATCCCCAATCCTATATGTCTATTTCTAATTATCGTAAAAGACCTTTCTAGTGCAAGTTGTAACATAGATCTAAGGTAATAAGGGGTCAATGCCCTGTCCCTTCTACTGTGTAAAGATGTACATCCCTATATATTCTATATTGCTACAAGAGATTTATAATTGATTTCATCTTTCCAGCGTGACTTTACTTTATATAACTTATCAACGTATTTTATAGGAGTAACACGACGGTTGTAACATGTGAGGCAGGATCTGTTAAACCTGCGGGGGCACATGAGATCACTGCCTGTTTTTGGTTGGGGTTGTGTTGCTCAGTCTTTAGATAAATGTAGACACGAGTTGAAGTTTTGAATAAATGGGAATCATGGGACACAATAGCGGCCTATCATTCCCAATGATCAGCAATTCATGTTCACCAACAATAAAAGGTTGGATGAACACCATTACTAATCACACCTTTTAATCTTCAGAAGAAATGGGTTTCTATTAAAAATTTTATATTGTGTCATAGATCAAACTTATTCGTACAGTGTATGCTTACTTTTTTTTGTTTTTTGATCGAGTTCAATTGATATTTTATAGTGTGAGCTAACGAAAACGAGGTCGAAGCAAGAAGACGACATCTTGAAACAGAGAAAAAAAAATTGTAATATAAGTAGAAACAAAGCAATTGTGACAACACATATTACTTAAAACATATAATATAATTGAAATACATCTTATGACATAGAATATTTCCATAAATTTCCATAAATTTGTGAAAATAGCCGATTTTCGGATCTCCATTGTTACGGGCCGGTAGGAAAACCGGGTTAAAACCTGCCAAGAAATTTAGTTAAGGGGCAAACTCTTCTTTTTTTTAAAGTCTTTAAACTAATATAAGTAAATATCGTAATCATTCTCTCTTAAATATCTATAAAAAAAAAAAAAAAAATAAATTCAGATTGGAGTAAACTCTGGCAGAGAACGCTGTCCCTCCCCCCCTTCTCCAAAAAGTGAAGATTACTGGTATGTCAACATCCAAGCTTAATAAATATTTACGTCAGCCAACCACTCCAATAACAGGAAAGAAGAAACTAACACCTGTACTCTTTGCAGACAGTAAGGGCAACTACCTTGAGAAGCAAATCAAACCAGGCATTGACCATCACATTAAATAATATAAGTAAATATACATATTATGCTACAGCAAAACTTAGCTCATAAAATCGGTCATCTGGATAATAATTCAATATATATATGGTTGGGTACATGCGATTTGACAGCGTTCGATCCAAAGACACGATACGTAACTCTGCATCCTAAACCTGAAGAAGCCGTTGAAACCGCCACTAAAATTTTTCGTGTTATTGCAGAACTTCTTCGTCCATATAACAACTGTAAATTAACCTTCATAGAAACTCATCCCTACTCAATTCAACAGTGGAATATTAAACAGAAACATCCGGACACCAACCAATTTATCAATCAAGACTGTGCCGTAAGCAGATACATCTATCAACTTAATCAAAACATTAGATCTATAAATCAGGGATTAGGAGTTGTATCACCATCACTTTCCGTCGACCTAAGCCACTGCCAAAGCATAAAATTCGAAAAATCGCCACAAAAGGTTAGCAGATCAATATAACTTTACTCTATACAAGGACGGAGTGCACCCAGATCCCCTCCTGGCTCGTGTTTGGCTGCGTAAAATTGGCAAAATTATGCAAACTATATAGATATAGGAAGATTTGGTATGATTGCCAATGAGACAACTCTCCATCCAAGTTACAATTTATAAAAGAAATCCATTATAGGTCAAGGTACGGCCTTCAACATGGAGCATTGGCTCACACCGAACAGCAAGCTATAAAGGGCCCCAAAAAATTACTAGTGTAAAACCATTCAAACGGAAAAACCAACGGTCTAATCTATATAAAAACGAGAACCGAGAAACACGTAAAAACTACATAAACAGACGATAACTACTGTAATCAGATTCCTGACTTAGGACAGGTGCAAACATTTGCATCGGGATTAAACGTTTTAATGGTTCCAAACCTTCTCCCTTTTCTGAAACAATAGTATAACATCACAACATAGAAAAACACACTATAAAATATCAATTGGAAGGCTTAACTCAATCAAAAAACGTAAATTAACACACAATGAACGAATAAATTTGACCTGTGACACCTGAATGCAAATACACAGTTAATAAAAAATTACAAGAGATAAATAATTGAAGTCAAAAGTTAATAAACAGGTTTAAACAAAGTTAAAGTATGATATCACTGTGAAATTTCAAACAATTTTTAGAAAATCATCACTTTTGAAGAAACCTGCGTCATATTATACACAGGTAAATGAAAATAATTTTGTTGTTAAGTATACTTCTTCTTCTGTGTGTATAAAATCTTCCGTTTAGGAATACCAAGAAATTTCTTTAATATCAATAAAATTAATCTAACACTTGGTACATATGGGGTGAATATAAACAATAATAATAAAACTGACTGTTTTGTCTAAATTTAAACAATAACTGCAACTCTAAAAACCAATATCAACAAGAACTTCAAAAGCAATACCAACAATATTATAGGCTTTTTTTTCCATAACAACTTCAGGTTACGAGTAGACACAGAGTGCGATTGATAAGTGATTTGCGTCGACAGTGGGATTATCCACGACGTACCTTATTGCTGATCAACCGTAGTCTATTGCATTGGACCCAACTATCCCAACCCAAAGAAACAAGGAAAATAAGACCATAGCTTAAAGAGATCAAAACCAACATCCATAATACTGACATAATACTATAAATAGTGTATACAAAATAGCTGTACTTACACCATAAAGTTGTATTCCAAAAATCAACCATTAAAAGGAAATAATTGTGACTTTAACCTTATCTCTGTACGTATAGACGTCCGCATACTAAATTCTGAATAAGGACTGCTGGTCAGTGAATTGAAGTCGATAGCAGGATTATCCACGACGTACCTTTTTGCTGATCAGTAGTAAGAGGATTTACCAAGTCAGACAACAAATATAAAAATGGCAAGCAATTCTGATATACAAGTCGTGCGAAGGAAAGAGGATGCTAAAATACACCGAGAGATCATAAAGGATTATTCCCTTAATGTAGATAAAGCACTGATAAAAAAGCAACTCAGCGCTCCACAAGCATGGAATACAAGCAAACGC